GCTGAGCCCTCGCCCTTGGAACCGCGAACACGCCCCCTCTGATGGCGATGGGGATTGGGGCTGGATTGTCCCGACGGGACCTTGCCATCGCGAGGCGGAGGGATTGTGGCCACAGAGGCAAGAGGCTGAGCCACGTGGCCAGCAGCCACCGAAGCCGGAAGACGCAAGAGATGGGTTCTCTCCTACAGCGCCCAGCGTTGGAATTGGGTCTCGCTGTGGGCGGGTGGGCGACAGAGACACTGAGCTGACAGCAGCTGTGCTGAGCTGGCTGTCCTCTGTACCTCTGGTTCCAAGACGGTGATGAGAACAATGCGGTGTTTTTGTGCTAGGAAAACACAGTGCCACCGACACCCCCACTGGCTGAGACGGGCTGCCACCAGGAGCCGGGAGAGGGGCCCTTGGGGACGCTGCCTCTGTCCCCCTGAGGCTCACCTGGAAGGCTGCAGGTGCCTTCGGGTTCTTGGAACGGCGCGGGTTGGCAGGGGACGGCAAGCCTGTGTCACAGGGCTAGGGTGGTCATCTCCAGCTGCGAGCCATCCATGAGGACCCTAGGGAAGGGCTGGGCTCTTCTCCACGGTGACAGGGCACAGGAGGTCCCCCTGGGCCTGCAGAACCCCCTGACCCGGGAGCCCCGCAGGTGCAGGACACACCCCATGTCACACGCTGGGAGGCCGGTGCTTCCTGGGACCACCGGGGGCGGCGAACACCGAGGTGCACGTTCTCAGCCTTTGGAGGCTCGTAGCCTCCACGCGCGGAGTCAGCGGCCTCCAAAGTGACTTCAGTGTTGAGCCCGAAACTGGCCTCAGCGTGGCTGTTTGCCGGGGCCATGCGTCCCGTCCGGAGCCTGCGCTTCCTGATCTTTCTGTCCCGGAGGAGAGCCGGCCGCACGGCAGCCCCAGGCTTCTGTGTTGTGTGAGGGACTCGTGCAGACCCTGCCTGCCCGGGGACAGAGCCCAGGTGTGGCCCCCGCAGGCTGCTTCTCCAGCGGCTGTGCCCAGGAACATATTAATTTATCTGAGAGGCAGAGTTAGAGAGGGAGAGACAGAGAGGCCTTCCATCCGCTGGTTCACTCCCCAGATGGCCGCAATGGCTGGAGCTGGGTGGATCTGAAGCCAGGAGCCAGGAGCTTCTTCCAGGTCTCCCACGCGGGTGCCGGGGCCCAAGCACTAGGACCATCTTCCACTGCTTTCCCAGGCCACAGCAGGGAGCTCGATCGGAAGAGGAGCAGCCGGGACTAGAACTGGCGTCCATATAGGATGCTGGCACTGCAGGCAGAGGCTTAGCCTACTAGGCCACAGCGTGGGAGACCCAGAAGGAGCTCCTGGCTCCTGGCTCCTGGCTTCAGATCGGCTCAGCTCCAGCCATTGTGGCCATTTGGGGAGTGAACCAGAGGATGGAAGACCTCTCTCTCTCTCTGTCTCTCCCTCTCACTGTCTGTAACTCTACCTCTAAATAAATAAATACATCTTTAAAAAAATATTCTTCTAACAGGACTAACAAGCCTTTGCCCTTGCTGTCCAAGCATCTTAAAGTTTAGTGACACTCTTACTTCTACCACTTCCCAGCGTTACCCAGGTGTAATTGACAAATAACTTCATTTTTAAATGATCAGATCATAGGTTGTTTACGTAGTAGGTTGTAGCCTGTCATTTCCTGAAGTTTAAAAGACGGGTGTGTTTGTTCTTCTGAGAGGCAGAGAGCACTCCCGTCTGCGGCTGGCTTGCTGCTCTAATGCCCCAGCAGCTCTGCCGGACCAGACGGAAGCCAGGGGCTGGGAGCGCACGCAGCTGCCCCCAGGGGCGGGTCAGCGGGAAGCTGTGGCCGACAGGAGCCAGGACTCAGAGCAGGCACTCCAACACGGGCCTCACCGCTAAGCCAAATGCCTGCCCCAATTTTCTTTTAAGTTTTTAGTTGACACAGTTGTCTATCTTTAAATTTTCTTTTAAAATTACAGGGATGGGGGGGGGGTGAGAGAGGTTTTCCATCAGCTGGTTCACTCCCCAAATGGCTGCAGCAGCCAGGGCTGGGCCAGGCCAGAGCCAGGAGCTTCATCCGGGGCTCCCACGTGGGCTGCAGGGGCCCAGACATTTGGGCCGTCCTCCGCTGCTTTCCCAGGCACATTAGCAGGGAGCTGGATTGCAAGTGGAGCAGCCGGGACTTGAACTGGTGCCCACACAGGAAACCAGCATTGCAGGCAGCAGCTTAACCTGCTGAGCCACAACGGTGGCCCCTCAATTGTCTATTTTTACGGGGTACAATGTGATGAGTTTCTAAAAACATTTTGAAGGGCAGACAGAACAGAGACGGACTGTGGAGGTCTTATATCTGCGGGCTCATGACAGCAGCCAGGGCTGGGCCCTGGGACTCCATCCGGGTCTCCCACGTGGCCGGCAGGGAGCCGCCGCCCGGGTGCCCACAGCGGGAAGCTGCACGGACGTGTAGCCGCAGCCTAGACTCGAGCCGGGGCAGCCTGAACGGGACGCGCTGTCGTAACCACCGTGCCACGCTTTGACACCTGTGTGCTGTGTACGGGTCGAATCGGGTGACTGCCACACCCATTCATTCGTGGTGACGGCTCAGGGCCCCTCTTGCAGCCACTCTGAAACATCCGGGCACCGTGCCACGGAAGAGCGGAGCCCGTCCTCCCCCAGCTCCGGGGAGCCAAGTGTGTGAAACAGTCCACTCTTCGACGCGGGCACACGCGGGCACTGGGGTCGCTAGTGCCACCTGCTGGCCCGACTGCAGCAGCCTCCCGGGGTGCACCTCCCCTTGTCTGTTCTGGGACTTGCAGTAGCCGCCTCCAAGTCTGAGTGGCTGCCCCGCCAGCCACAGCTCTGCCCACTCACCCCAGCTGCTGGGATCGCTTCCCGTCTCTCCCGCTGGACAGCTGGACCAAGGAGGTTTAAGCCGGTCTGTGAAGGCGGGCAGCCCAGCTCCAGGCACAGGGCCCTAACTAACATCACGCAGCTGTGTAAACGTCACATCACAAGCAACGTGCTCACGCCTTCCTCTCAGAAGGGACGCGAGGGAATGGGGCCAGCTGGCACTTGGCGAGGTTCGACGGGGGTGACGGAACCAGACAGAGGTGACAGCGGGGAACACGCCCACTCGGGACCCTCACTGTGCCTCGGGCACACGGCACTCCGTAAAGCTCACGGACTATCAATTCCAAGCTGCTTCTGGGGTGGGGGTTGTGGGGCAGGGGTTTCAGCCACGCTTGGGGTGCCTGCATCCCGAGTGCCTGGGGTCAAGTCCCACCCTCACTTCCTGTCCAGCTTCCTGGGAGGGAGAAGCCGACCCCGTGCTCGGGCTCCTGCCCCAGGGGCACGTGGCCCCCGGGACACCGCATCCCACCCGCACGGCAGGCAGTGCTGGCTTCTCGGCCCCTCTGCTTCAGCCCCCGCTGCCTGCTAACGCATCTGGGAGGAGAGCAAACGGAAGAGGTCTCCCCCTGCCTACCAAGTGAGCCACTTGTTTTTAGAGATGATGCTACCGTTTTCTGACCTGAAAGACGCCATGAAATCTGTAGATTTCACGTACAGAGCACCCACTCGTGCGCCACAGCACAGGTGCCTGCAGCCTTCCTCCAAGGTCCCTCATACATTTCAGCAGCTCGGCTACGCCCAGCAAGCACGTGGTCTCCGGGGGCAGAGAGCATCCCCGGGGGCCCCCTCAAAGCCCGGAGGGCCGAGGCAAAGACCTTCAATTCACCAGCTACAAACCCGTCCCCGAGTGCCGGGAAAGAACAGTCTGGAAGGCCCACGATGGCGACGCACTGTCGTTTCTGGCCACAGGCAGTGGCCAGCTGTGGGCTGGCGTGGGACGGGCTGAGTTCACGCCGGGCAACCCGTTCTCTCTCCTCTCTGCGCCCCATCCCCTCGTGTACGGCTCACTCACCCCATCCCCTTGTGTACACTGGCTCCTGGGTGGGAGGGAGGAGTCCTCCTATTCCAAAAACATACGTTTTAGGTTAAACAGGGCCAATGGGTCATGGGTTTGAACTCCTTTGTCATCACCTACCAAAGAATTTCAAACGCCGAGTGCAGTCTCTTCGATAGAAAACTTTATTGTCATTGCTTTTCTGAGCAGGCGACATCACAACACTACCGATACCAGCAAGTCAAGCTTCCACCCAGCCCGACAGGAAAGCGGAAGTGGCATTCGGGATCGGGGGCAAAAATCCAACAAGCCGAGAACTATCAAACACCGCGCGGAGTTCACTCTGCACACTTACCCAGCAGGACTCAAGTCACGGCAGATACAAAGCACCAGCCAGAGCCCGTCACCGGGCACAGCTCAGCGCAGTTCCCACGCAGGGGACCTGCTCCACCTTGAAGGCCACACAAGTCACCCCTTGGTTGGGCCTTGCAAAGCTGGCCCACAGGAGGCTGTCAGCCAGCCCGAGAAGAGGCCCACTTAGGAGTCCAGGAAACCTGCCCAGCAGAGCCAGAGGGCGCCGAGGTCGTTCAAGCGCCGGGAGCGAAGGAGGCGAGAAAACCACACGGAGACGCCACCCGCGCGTGGGCAAGGCCGCGAGGCCGCCCGCCCGGGAGGAAGCGGCGGGGTGTCGCACCTCCCAGAGCGGACAACAGTGCTGGAGCCGAGCACGGCGGGGCGGGGCGGGCACAGAAGGAGCCAGGCGGCAGTCTTCAAAATAGTTTATTACAAAATACAGTACAGGTGCGCAGACCGTGCCCCAGAACCTCGAATGCACACAGCGCTGGAAGACGCCCCGCAGCACCCCCGGCGCTGCCCACAGGACCTAACTCCTAGGACAACGCCAGCCCCCCGCGGCCGGCAGTGGAGTGGGGACGGCAAGTCGCCGCCCACACGGCGCTCTGGCTGCTCGGCTAAGACGTCGCTTCCCCAGGGGCTGAAATCCACGTCTGTGGGCGACAACCCAGCGCGCTGGGACCGGCACGCGGGCAGACAGGTGGACTGGCCAACCCGACGCTGCCAGCCACTACTTCTTATTCCTGGGCTTCAGCTCTTCAGCCGCGTTGCGCAGGAAGATGTAATTTTTCTTCTGGGGATTATAGAACTCATGTCCCTGGGGGAGGAAAACAAGCCCAGTGACCTTAGGCACTGAGCCCCGAGTCGATGGCCCTGGGATCCCCGATCTGAGCAGTCACAGGAGACACCCAACCCGTCTGCCCGTCTGCAGCACGTGCCCGTGCCGTGCCCAGAGGGGCCCCCGCAGCTGAAGCGCCGGCCTGCGCCTGGTCGGGTAGAGGGGCTCTGCAATATGGCAGGAGGCGGCCAGCGAGAGGGGCTGTGGTCAGACTCGGGCCCGCGGGGAGAAGGAATGACAGCAAGTCCAAGCGGTCCAGGGGCGTGGTCGGCCGAGTGGGGAGGGGTGAGTGGGGAGCCTCAGGTGTGGAGCAGGCTGGGAGGAGGCGGGGCGCACTCTGCGTTCACTCCCCCGACAGGCATGCCCACAGGACTCGAGGGTTTGCTGAGAAGTGACGTGAACCTCATTCATCAAGCCGGGCAACAGCCGCGGGTGGGGCGGAGGGAGTCCCAGGAGGGGCCTGGAGCCCGCACACGAATTGGCAGTGAGCGGGAGGACCCGAGCGGGATGCACGAAGCTCTGGGGAGCGGAGGGTTCTCCTGACTGTTCACGGTCCCGGCGACCTACAGCTGCTAAACGCACCAGATGTGCACTCTACCTGCAAGTGTGTGCTCACGTCACCTACGGGGTGGGGGGGATCCCAGGCAGTGCTTTAACCCGTTGTACACCTGTCCCCAGACTGGGTGTTTTATTGAATCTTTAAGGATTTATTCGTTCATTTGAAGGACAGAGTTAGAGAAGGAAGAGCTGCCACCTGCTGGAGCACTCCTGGATGGCTGCCCTGGGGCTGGGCCAGGCTGAAGCCAACAACCTGGAGCACTCCCAGGTCTCCCACAAGGGGGCGCCAGCACCGGGGCCACTTTCCGCTGCTTTCCCAGGTGCATTAGCGGGGAGCTGGATCGGAAGTGGAGCAGCCGGGGCTCAAAGGGACGTTCACAGGGGACGCCGAGCTGCAGGCTGCAGGCCGACCGGCTGCGCCACAACGCCAGGCTCAAACTGTGTTCTCAACAATTCACTGCATTTCAGCTGCACCTCAGCCGAGTGGCTCACACTTTCAGGAAATGAGAGCAGCAGGGCTCCGGGGAGAGCGGGCACTCGGAGGCCGGTGCAGGAACGGGCTTGCGTTACCCGGTGCGGCGAGCCCGTGGGAACAGAACCGGGCGCTGCCCTCCCCTCCCCCACCCTCTGGAGAGGGGATGAAGCCGACTCCAGACTCGGGACTCCCAGTGAACGCAGAGGGATCGGGAGGCAGCAAGCCCGGGGTGAGGGAGGGAGGGAGGGACAGTCCCCCTGGAGTTAAGGTCACCAGGGCACTGAGGTGCTGCTTCCCTGCTGAGGTGGGGACGGAGCCAGGAGTCAGTCAGGAACCAGAGTCACCGGCTCCCGTGGGCAGAGCGAGCGAGGGACTCCGTGCAGGTGGGCAGAAGGCGGGCACGTACAGAGATGAGCAGGACACAGCCGGTGACCTCGGCAACCTCCCACAGCAGGGCACAGGGCACAGGGCACGTGGCAAGAGAGACAAAGCCACAAACATCACGGAGGCGTGCAGCCGGGGGACAGCAAACCCTCCAGGCTGCCGTCTGACCACGTCCACGAGCCGCATGTTTTGCCATCACACTGGAGGCCCTGTCGGTGCCGCCTTCCTGTCCGAACAGGAAACAACCGTGCTCCCCAGCTCCAGGCCGGGCTCCCCCCACCGCCCCTCGTGTGCTCCCAACAACCACATGCACCAGCCTGGTCTGCCTGCGCGCCAGGACAGCCAAGCTCATCCAAGCCTCCGTGCGCTGCCTCCGCCCAGGGCGGCACTGAACCCCACAGCCCTGCAAGAAGGCCTGACTTTCTCGACAGCGAAGTGACAATGACCTGCCTCACGCCCCTTACCTTGGACCTGCCTGGGGACCTGAGCCGCCTCTCGGCCCCTCACCTTGGACCTGCCCGAGGCCCCGCCTCTCGGCCCCTCACCTTGGACCTGCCCGAGGCCCCGCCTCACGGCCCTCACCTTAGACCTGCCTGGGGACCTGAGCCGCCTCTCGGCCCCTCACCTTGGACCTGCCCGAGGCCCCGCCTCACGGCCCTCACCTTAGACCTGCCTGGGGACCTGAGCCGCCTCTCGGCCCCTCACCTCGGACCTGCCCGAGGCCCCGCCTCACGGCCCCTCACCTTGGACCAGTCGTAGCTGGAGGCGTAGGCGAAGATGTTGCCGTTGTGGTTGAAGCCGCAGGCTGCTATCGGCTGGTCTAACTGCTCTGAAGTTTTGAGTTTTGTTCTGGCATCCTTGTCCCAGAAGCTGAAGCGGCCGTCAGACCCCACGGTGGCCAGGGTGCCGTGAACGGGATGGAACGCGATGCCATTGACCTGCGGGGGTGACAGGCGCGCTGAGCCGCAGGGCGGGACAGGGTGGGGAGGCAGGTTTATGCCACCGCACCTTATGCTCCGAGTTAGGAAACAAACGAGCACGCTTTCTTGGCCACGCTGCCCCAGTCACTTGCCACCCCAGAGCTAAATCCTGCTCGTGCTGCACATTCCAGCCAGCAGCAGCTAACCGGCGTGGTAACAGCCCAGGGGCGTGCCAGGACCAAGCACCGCCATCTTGGCCGTGGCTCCGAGTGTGTGCAGAGCGTCTGCGCCGCACCCAGGCCTCCCAGCAGGCCCCCAGCCCGCCCGTGGAAGCACACGAGGCTGAGCCAGAGGTCTACGGACAGGAAACTGCAACCACAGCCCAGCCCCCGTCCCCAAGGAGCCACAGGCTGCGCCGGAGCAGCTTCCCAACCCCCAACTACCAGGGAACCCGTCTGGGTCTCCGGGCTCGGACGCACCGCGTAGATGTCCTGAGGCGCTGACGTGTTGGTCCCGTTGGAGCGATGACACTTAAAGGTGAAGTTGTCTTTGGCAGGATTCGGAGGGTTGATGTAGTGAATAGCAACTCGCCCCTCAATACTGCCCAGAGCAAATCCAGTTGGCTTGTTCTGTTTGTCTTTAAAAATAGCCACACATCGATGCTACAGTTAAAAAACAAAGCACATCATCACAATGTCAACACAGGACTTCCCAGCTAAGCTGACAGTAAGCACCTGTGACACGACGACAAGGCAGCATCACAGTTCTCAGAGCCGTGGCCTTCAGCCACGGGGTCAGCCGCGGCCTCCCTCAGGGCCCCCAGGGTTCCGACACAGGCACTGTCCCCACTGGAACAGGAAGACGGTCCCTTTGATTAGCGCCTGTCCCTGGCTGGTCTCCCACGCTCTGTGCTGGAGGTCGGCAAGCCCCTCACGGGTGAAGGGGAGCGGTGGGCGCGCAGCTCTGCAGACCACGGCCGCGCCCCACAAGCAAGAGCGCCGTGCCCCCCGCGCCTGGGCGAATCTCACTACCAGGGACCCCGCGCGTGGACTGCACTGTCTGTGGCCTGCGACTGTCTTACTCCACTTAACGTCGTGTTTCCCCAGTCTAGCCCTGCTGTCAGATGGCCGCATTTCACATGTGCCCACATCCGCTCTGTCCAGTCACATGGCCGGCGTGAGCGCAAGCAGCTCTTCCGAATCCTGACCGCCGTGCTTTCGGGTCAAGTGGGGAATGGGCTTGCCGGGTCACGTGACAGCTCTGCTCTCCACCGCCACGGGGGGCGTCGTGGCACGCCAGGCTTGTGTCAGGAGGCCTGGCTTCAAGCCCCACCTCCTCAGTGCACACCCTGGGGAGAAGCGGACGACGGCTCAAGTGCTCACATCCTGGCCGCCACGTGGGACACCCGGATGGAACTCCTTGCACTGGACTCTGGCTTGGCCAAGCCCCGGTTGCTATGGGCACCCGGGGAGTGAACCAGCAGACTGAAGATTTCTAAGTAAAAATATCTTAAAGATGTTTTTGAGACGCCTCCATGTTATTTTCCCTAGCAGCGGCACCATGGTCACCCCTACAGCACCACCCGCCAGGCTCTCCTGTCACAGTCTGACGGCAGAGGCACCACTGTCACCCCTACAGCACCGCCCGCCAGGCTCTCCCGTCACAGACTGACGGCAGCGGCACCATTGTCACCCCTACAGCACCGCCCGCCAGGCTCTCCCATCACAGTCTGACGGCAGAGGCACCATCCTCTCTCCCACAGCACTGCCCGCCAGGCTCTCCGTCACAGTCTGACAGCAGAGGCACCATCCTCTCTCCCACAGCACCGCCTGCCAGGCTCTCCGTCACAGTCTGACAGCAGAGGCACCATCCTCTCTCCCACAGCACCGCCCGCCAACACTCCCGTCAGTCTGATGGCAGAGGCACCATCCTCTCTCCCACAGCACCGCCCGCCAGGCTCTCCGTCACAGTCTGACAGCAGAGGCACCATCCTCTCTCCCACAGCACCGCCTGCCAACACTCCCGTCAGTCTGACGGCAGAGGCACCATCCTCTCTCCCACAGCACCGCCCGCCAGGCACTCAGAGAGAAGCACTGAGAAGCTGGGGAGCCTGATGAGGCCGGAGAGGCAGTGCCGGCCGGCATAGGGTCCTGTGCAGACAGAGGGCACGCGGGCCCCACCACAGACAACACTGCCCTTCAGGGACCACTGCCCCCACCCCCAGGCCTCAGTGTCTCTGTCCCCTGAGTGCTGCTGTGATCTGCTGAGACCCCGCTGACAGACGGGGACACGACGACATCGGGCAGTCCTTTGGCCAGAGGACAGAACTGCAGAGAGCCAGAGGCCGGCCCAGCGCCGTGCCGGCGCAGTTAGGCTGGGGTGGAACCGATCCCCGAGCAGCACCCGGGGGAGGAGAGGAAAGCTGGGCGCCCTGGGGAGGGGAAGCACTCACTCACCAAACGGCTGTGAGTGGCCCCTTAAACGGCCCTCTTGGGAAACGCAAGGTACAGACGCCCCTCAACTTGCAGTGGGGTTCTGCCCCAGAAGCCGTCACGGAAGGAAAGCACATTTAACCCAGGCGCCCTCACTGCCCACGCTCCTCACCCGTGTTCGGGACACTCGCCACGGCCCACAGCGGAGAAAGCACCCGACACACAGCCGTCACAGAAGAAATGCTGAGCCCGGCAGTCACCGACTGCTGTCTGAAAGTAAGACCCAGTGCTGCCCTACAGCTGAGAGCCGTCACCGGAATCACCCGGAATCGCCACACGGGGGCGCAGTCTCACACGCCGCAGGCACCACTCACGGCCTGCGAGGTGGCGCGCTCACCTGGTGTTTCAGCGGGGACTCTATCCTCCGGAACTCGGAAGGCTGGTTCTCCAGCTGGTACACAATCAGGCCCCTCTCCGCGGTCGCCACCACGGCCATCGGGTAGATCTAGGGCAGGGAGCAGGGGCGCGGGGACGGAGGCTGAGCGCAGGCGGCGGTGGAGCAGCGGGCCAGCTGCGGCCCGGGACTGCGTCCACGTCAGGGCCTGGGTCACGTCCAGGTCACTGCACGTTCTGATCCTGTCCCCGGCTAATGCCCCTGAGAGACCCCCGGTCCTGCCAAGCACCCAGGAGGCCTGGATGCCACTGCTGGCTCCTGGCTTCGGCCCAAGCATTTGGGGAGTGAACTAGCAGGTGGAAGGCCCGTTTCTCACTCTTCCAAATACCAACGATACAGAAACTTTGAGAAACATTTGAAAAACAGACTGTTCACACACTTTTAAAAGACTTGTTCTTAAAATTGAGTTTATAATGAATTCTTAGAAAATATACTAAGGGATGGAAGAAACGAAAACCCAAGACCGCACATCTTCCAAGGACAGCTGCTAACATATTTCACCCCGTTTTTCTGAAATTAAAGGTCTGTGCTCATTTAGTGAAATCCCTGACGTTTACTCAAAACACGGCTCGTGAGCGTCGGCCGTACCACACGCTCTTCCGAGACACCTTGAGTGGCGTCTCACGTTTCCTCCAACGACAAGTCCTCGGGGCCACTTCACTGTGCCTCCCTTGTCGATCCCCTAGGCCACTTCCTGTGTCACATAAAACACCCTCTGCATCGGTGAGCACTGAAGCCCAGCAGTGGACACTGGTGCAGTTATGACCAGAGACGGAGCAGGTTCTCTAGTTTCTATCTCATCCAGAGATAGCGCCCAAGCCCCAGAGCCGTGTCACAAACAGGGCAAACGTCGGGGTGTGTGTGTGTGTGTGTGTGGTGTGTTCAAACAAGCGACCACAAATGAGCCCTGTCTAGGAACTCTGGACCAAAAGCAGAGCAAACATCTCCCGACTGAAGTAAGGGACCGTGGCCACCTCGGCTACGTCCCTGCACCTGCTACCAAGGCCGAGGACGCGGCCGCCCGCTGATCCCGGATGCTCTGAGTGAGAAACGCTCGCTGCTTCCTCCAAGAGCTACCCATCAAGTGGAAATCCCTTACCACGTCCGCACAGTAACACCTCTCGGGGAGCTGCAGAACCATCATAGGGTTTGACGACCGCGTATCCCAGAACTGAAAGCAGAAGAGGAGCCGGTGAGTGACCACTCAGAACGCAAACCCGAGAGGGGGAAGCGCCCACGGGCCCGGCGCCAGCCGCGTACCTTCAGGGTCTTGTCCCAGCTCCCGGTCATCACGCAGCTGTAGTTGGGGGCTTTGATCCAGTGTATGGTTTTAACAGGAGCATCGTGCTGTCAGCAAGACAAAACCAAACACATGAAGGGAAACAGCGCTAGCTCTGAAGTTCACACACTGAGGTCACGCTACACGATCTGAGGACGGCACGGCTTTCTGGAACCTCCAAAGGGCTTTCCAAACTGCCCAGGGGCCAGCTCGGACACAGTGGCCCTAGCTCCTCTCAACGCCGTGCTTCTGCCCCGTTTTGCTTTCCTCACACAAAACTAACCTGCTGCCCCCAAGCGGACTATCCAGGCTTCAAGGGCAGTGGAGTGGTCCTCGTCCCCACTGCTGTCATTTCCAGCTCCGCACAGAGCAGAGGTTCAACCCGCAGCCCCTCAACAGCCAGTGACCAAAACCCAGTGCTAAGAGGGGAGCTGTGTCGGGTGTCGGGTGTCACACACACATGTGACCGCTAAGGACCAGGTGAACACCTGTCTTTCCCAGATCCTAACGTCACTAGCTTCTGAGACACCCCCACGGCACGACGATGACTGTGAAACCAGCGTCACCTGCGTTAGGGGGCTGTCTGGGATGCTTATGCTTAACTGATGCGGTTTTGTTAAAACGCAGCTGTCACCAACAGAGAATCTTGTGTTTCAGGTTGCCCGGCGCCTGGGCCCCGCCTCACCCGGCCCCTGCAGACGCTGTTACCTGTGCGATCTGAATTGCCTGATTGCTGTTGAGGTCCCACATTTTGGCAGTTTTATCACAAGATGCGGTGAACACTTTGCTCCCGTCCTAAAATGGAGAGAATGCGGCGTTCTAAGACCCACTGAACTGCCAGCTGCGGCAGCTACACTGCAGGCTGAACGCGGGGCCAGCTGGCTTTCACCGCGGCTGTTCTCAGCTGTCTGAGGGCCAGTGTCCTGGAGACGTGAGGGCCGTCACCGCTCCGCCGCTCCACCGCTCCCCGCTGCCCTAGCTTTAAAGAGGTAACAGATAAGCGGCTGGGAGACGTGGGCAGCACTCAGTCACCAGCGGGAACCGAGTCTCCTGCCTCCCCCCGCAGGGAAGCCCTCGCAGCTGTGCTTACGCTGATGAGCTCCAAGCCTTCAGGAAAATGACAACACAACAACACCAGCTCCTCATTCAGATTCACTAAGCGTAATGTCTCCTACGTTCACCTTTCTCTAAGTATACACACATTTGCTATTTTATAGCCGCTCTTACTTTTACTTTTGTCCAGCTCAAAGGCAAACTATGTAATAAAAAGACACTGATTATAATCACTGCTCCGAGAGAAACCACGGAATAGCTTAAAAATCACCAGACGACCAGAATATTTCAAACATGTAACAGAAATATCTCCTTTTTCCTAAGACCTTCTAGGACAGACATTCCCAAGTTCCGGACGACAGGCAGGTGTTCACTGTCGCAGGTTTTGCTGTCAGGTTAGCTGGGGCGAGGAATCAGGTCACCTCTCAAAGCCTTCCTATCCTTCCAAACATGCCAGAGCGTGTTTCATGATTTTCATTTTGAGGGACAGAGAGGAGAGAGACGTCTTCCATCCACTGGCTTACTTCCCACGTGCCTGCAGCAGCCAGACTGGGCCAGGCCTACGCCAGGAGCTCCCCCACGCAGGGAGGTGCAACTGGACTCCAGCCCTGGCGCCCTCTGGGGCTGTGCACGTCCTTCAGGGAGCCCCCACCTGAAGCTGACACGGAGAGCAGCGACGGAGGCAGAAATTTGGTTCCGTGGTTGAAACCCTCTGGGGACAGCCATGACCTCTCTCAAGTGCCCAGGTCACGCCCCAGCTCTGCTCTGACGCCAGCGTCCGCCACACACGGCCTCGGAGGCAGCGGGTCCCTGCCACTCGCCTTGTGTCCCAGCCCAGGCTGCTTCAGGCATCTGAGGAGTGACCCAGTGGAGGGAGGAGCTCTGGCTTCCAAGTGAATGATGATAATAACACTAATACTAAAAGAACACGACCGAGTTACTCAGATACTCAGAATCCCTCGGGTGTGGACGCCCAGGCGCTCTGTGACCGTCACTGACTACCCCGAAGGCGCAGGGGCAGTGAGGGGACGTACGTCACTCCAGCAGACGTCGAGGACCGGCCCGGTGTGCATCTGCTGGGCTTTCGGGATGGTCTGCCCGCTGTCCTGAACCTCCCAGCAGCGGACCTGGAACAGACAGAGGCAGGCTAAGCACTTCCGGACGCGCCACGTGCACTGCACGACCGACACCAGTGCGGCGCGACCTGAGAACACACGGGCTTCTCGTCTCAAGCCAACCACCCACCTCGAAGAACAAAGCAACTGACATGTGTGTGGCGCTTCAGAAAGTCTGGGGAAACGGAACCTGGTTTGGGTTTGAAACATCCTGAAATCCGCGCAGGAGAGTCTAGGCGCGCAGCTGTCTCCTGCTCCCCCGCCATCGCACCAGCAGCACCTACTAACCCCCAGGCCGCCCGGAACGTTCTCACCACACCTACGGGCACCCGCTCCCTGCCAGGGGACCAAGGCCAGGGCCAACTTCCCCACTCTGAGCTCTTTCAGAACGTGACAGAAGCCCGAGCAGCCCCGCCCCGGCCACCGCCAGCGGCTCTGCGACGTCCCCGCAGGGAAGCGCACGGCAGTGGCTCCTCTGCGCTGCCGCCCTTCGGTTCCCCCCACAGCGCCCCAGTCACCCTCGGACCCTTCTCATTTCTTGCAGTGTCGGGCGGCCAAGCGGCCGAGACCTCCAAAGCAGCGAGGAAGGGAAGCCGCTGGGGTCTGCGCCTCGCCTTCCCCACCCCTGCCCTGCTGCAGGCAGCTGGAAATCCTTCCCCAAAACCGCAGACGCGGCACACAGTGCATCACCGCAGCTGCGACACGGCCGCTCTTGGAATGCGAGGCCCGCAGGCCGCGGCGGCAGCAGGCTGTCTGCGCTGGGCCGCCAGGCCTGCACCCGGCTCCATTGCTCTGGCGGAGCCCTGGCTGGGCCGGTGCTGTCCCCCTTGAGGCCTGGGCGTCCCGAGGCCACCAGCGGACTCATGTCCTCCTCTAGCCCAGAAGACAATCCAGCAGCACGAGGCTTGGCCTTTCTGGGAGACTCCGCCCTGACCCTCGGCGAGAACGGTTCCGGTGAACGCCAGCGGCACCCACGCGCGGTTCTGGCCCGGCCTGGCTGTGCTGCGGCTCTGAGGGGCTCCGGGTTTGCCCCGAGTTCGCGAGGCTCCTCGTGCCCGAGCTTCCCCCCCCCGAGTCCTCTCCGTCCTCTCCGTCCCCCCGCCCACTGACCCGTCCCCCCGCCCACTGATCTCTATCACCCTCCTCGCCCGCACTGGGCGAGGGTCACACTACCTAACGCTGCAACACTAACACGGGCTTGAAGACAGGACGGTCTGGGGACGCTGCCTGACCTCCACGTCTGGCAGTGGTTCAGCGACGCCTGCGAGTGCTCCCCACGCAACGAGTCCCAGTGCCACTCGCCACTCAGAGCGCTCACTTCCACAGGCCAGGAGTGACCCTCCCGACGCCTGCACCGGGGCAGAACACAGCGCCAAAGGGCACAGCTACGGCAGCCCGCACAGCGCCGACGAGAGCACTTACGTCATTGGCCCACGACCCCGCGATGAGGAAGTTCCCCGGCAAGGTCGGCGGGCTGAAGGACAGGCAGCCCACGCTGTCGTCGGGAGAAGACGTCACCTCGATGTCCTGGGGAGAAGCAGGCCACAGCTCCACCGGTGCCTTCTCCCCGAGACCCTGGGGAGGGCCCGGCCCTGTGCAGCATCGCAGCGAGGGAGACCCTGCCGCGCCGACTCACGGGGAGCGCACGCACACCGCCAGGCCTCGCGGCCGATGCCGGCCCACCAGCTCACGCTGGCCCCAAGGGACCCCGGCTCTTAGCGCCCTCCCCTCTGCCCAGCCACAGGAACGCGAGCTGGAAACCGGCACCCAGAGCGAGCACCTGGGGACCCAGCGGAGGGAAAGGCCGGAGCCTCGGAGACGCAATCTCCTGTGCTCCGCTACTTGAGGGACTTGGGCTTGACCGAACATCAGCGCTTGCAGCCCAGAGGAGGCTCCCGACCGCCTGGTCGCCCGCTGTCACTGAGGTGGGGCCCGGCCTGCCCCCCACCCAGCCCGGGGCCCCCCGCACCTTCATGGGGTTGTGGTTATCGGTCGTCGTGCTGCCGAACATGCTGGTCCCGCTGGTCCCAAAGCCCGAGGTGGTTCCAAACAGACTCATCTTGCCCCTGAAAAGCAAGGTGGGAAGCGTCAAGGCCGGGCCCTGTCTCAGCACTGGGCACCCAGAGGCAGGGACACGGGCCGCCGAGACCTCAGGAGGGCCGGTCACGTGGCAGTGACTCCTGAGGGAAGCTGGCCTCACTTTCCAATGATTGTCATCACTGGTGCTGTGTATTACTTATCCATCTGCAGGCAGAGCGCGCCCGGCCCGGGGTTCACTTTCTCCTATGCCTGCAGCGTCAGGGCGGCCAGGCCAACCCGCAGAGGGGAGCCCCACCCAGGCCCCTGAACGCTGGTGGGGACCCAGCCCTCCCAGGGTGCACCAGCAGGAAGCTGCGACTCAAACACAGGCGCCCAGCGTGGTGCAGGGGTCCCAACCAGCACCTCCACAGCCCAGCAAACCCCTCCCCAAGTTTCTTTCTTTCTTTAAAGATTTATTTGAAATTCAGAGTTACACAGAGAGAGAGGAGAGGCGCAGAGAGAGAGAGAGAGAGAGGGAGAGCGAGTGAGAGAGAGAGGGAGGGAGGGAGGGAGGGAGGGAGGGAGAGAGGGAGGTCGGTCTTCCATCCGCTGGTTCACTCCCCAGTGGCTGCAACAGCCATGCTGTGCCAATCTGAAGCCAGGAGCCAGGACTTCCTCTGGGTCCCGCATGTGGGTGCAGAGGCCCAAGGACGTGGGCCATCTTCCACTGCTTTCCCAGGCCACAGCGGAGAGCTGGAGCGGAAGTGGAGCAGCCGGGTCTCGGACTGGCACCCAGATGGATGCTGGCCCTGCAGGCGGCGGCTTTACCTGCTGCCCCACAGCACGGGCCCCTCCCAAGTCTCTACTTTAGAACAGTTCCACACAAGAACCACCAAGCACGCGCATCGCTTCCCGTCACCGCCATTGCAAGGTGGCGAACCGTCATCGCTCAGGCTGGGGAGCGCGGGGCTGCGCACCAGGACAGGACCCATTCTCTCGGGCTCCCACCCGCTGGGAACTGAACCCCTTCACATGTGTGCTCTGCTTGGGCTAACAGTGCCACCTGAACCACAGAGCAAGATGGAGCGGCCGAGTGATCTCCCCCGGGAGTTCCCAGGGATCCCGGCTCTGCCGCGCACCTGCCCGAGGCCTCGCCCTCCCGCCCCGCAGTGCACAGCCGGGCACGGCAACCAGGGCTGCTCTGACCATCAGACCAGACGGTGCACAGGGCAGCACCTCGCAGGTCCCAGGCCCCCTCCCCCGTATGTCACAACTCCACGATGACTCTCAGACGCCCATCCTACTTTTCTTTCTTTCTTAAAGATTTATTTATTTGAAAGGCAGAGTTACAGAGAGGCAGAGAGTGAGAGAGGTCTTCCATCTGCTGGTTCACTCCCCAGATGGCCACAACGGCCAGAGCTGAGCTGATCTGAAGCCAGGGGCCAGGAGCTTCCTCCAGGTCTCCCACGTGGGGGCAGGGGCCCAAGCACTTGGACCATCCTCCACTGCTTTCCCAGGCCACAGCAGAGAGCTGGAGCGGAAGTGGAGCAGCTGGACTTGAACTGGCACCCATGTGGGACGCGGGCGCTGCAGGCGGCGGCTCTAGACATTACGCCACGGTGCCGGTCCCCCCACATTTCAATTCTGCGCTTCTCAAAGTTTCAGCGCCAGCGCTGAGGTCAATCACTCCAAAAGCAGTCGGACAGCTGCGTGACACACAAGGTAACGTCCCTCAGTGCGACAACCCAGGACGCAGCCTCGTGGGCTCCCCAGCTTCAGCTGAGTGGACACAGCAGCCCAGAGCCGCGCCGGCACCTCGCGACCTGCAGGCAGCTGCTTGCGCGCCCCTCTCCGCCGCAGAGCGGACACGCAGCAAGAACGAGGCCCCCGCGCTCGGTCCAGGCCCCGGCCGGCCGGCTCTGGGCTGGTCATGTACCCTCGGTTTGCTCATCTGTAAAACGGAGCCAGCGCTAGTGCCTCTGCGGAGTCCCGAGGTGCAAGCGCGGCCGTGCGCACAGCCCCTGGCACCCCGCACCGCCGAGTCTGCAGGGTGCGTGCGACCGAGCACCTGCGGCGAGCCCAGTGGTCAGCTCTGTGGACGCAGGCGTCGCCGGACACCCCGCCGTGGGGCGCGCCTGCCCCTCCCCCTCTCCGGATGCCAGCGCACAGCCGTCTCCCCGCGCCTCTCCGGGTGTCGGAGAGGCCCGACACGGCGTCCCAGGGCGAGTTCACAGGGCCCACCTGCGGTCGCAGCCCCTCCTCGTCTTCATCGCCCCTGTCACGGAGCAGGGGTCGCTCGCCCGCGGCCAATCTCTCCCCCAGCGCCACGCCGGCTCCGGGAGGGCAGGCGCCCGTCTGGATTCCTGCCCAAGGTGCGGTCCGAGTGGACGCGAGCCCGGGGCAGGGGCGCACACACACCCCCTCGTCGTCTGCAGCAAACGCTCGGCGGGCGACGGCGCGGTGCCTCTCGCAAAGCGGAAAGCGCTGCCGGCGCAATCAGGGGCCGCCCCTCCGCAGCCGGACGGCCGGACACCGCTTCTCCGACGTGCGCGGGGCACCCACAGGGGCCGCAGACCCTGCCATCGGCTCGGTGACCCCCTTTCCGGGGCCGCGGGCGAGACCCCCGGGAACCCCCAAGGCCGCTTCCAGCTCCGCCGTCGCTTTCAAGGGCCACGAGCGGGGCTCGGCCAACGGCCCGGCTCGAGGGCAGCGCCTCGCAGCGAGGCGCGCTCCGCAGGGGCCCGGCCTCCGCGGGCGCCATGGCGGCGGCGCACCCGGGCCGCCGCAGAGGCCTACCTGAGAGTCGCGCCGCGGCGGAGCGCCGCAGGCAGGGAGCAGCAGGGCCCGAGGAGCCTGCACACTTGCTCCGCCGCAAAGAAGAGGCCGGGGTGGTGCCGACGAGGACGCCGGGGCCCCGAAGTCGCCCCACGCGGGCGCTGCAAACTGCTCTGATTACCGCGGACACACCGCGCACGCGCCGCGAAGCCACTTCCTGTGTTGCCCGGAAGGCATCGAGGAAAAAGGAGGCGCCTTCCGGCGGGCGACGGCACATGCGCAGCAGCGCTCCTGACGCCGAGCGGAAGTCCCGACGCCAGCAGTTCGGGGATTGGCCGAAAGTTTGGTGTCGGCGGCAAGTTGCTAAGCAACCGCTCTCCGGAATCCGCGACCTGGGCTGGTGAAGGTACGAGTGCGAATTAATGATGGCGTTTGTGGCTTTCGGCTCGCAGCCGCCGCTGGCGCCGCCGCCGAGGGCGAGCCCGCAGCTCCCGGGGCGGCTCCCGGCGAGCTCTCCCGGGTGTGGGCGGCGCGGGCCCCGTCAGGTGTCCGGGCGGAATTGTGACGCGTTTTGAGGGTCGGCGTGAGAGGGCGGGCGGGGGGCGCGGGGCGCGGGGCGGACCCAGATGGGAGCGAAACCTGCGGGAGCGCGCGCGGCTTTCCCGCCGTCCGCGGTTTCCACGGGCCGGTTACGTTCGCGCGACCCCGCGGCGCCGGGCCCGGCCGCCGGTCGCGTGTGTGCACGGGGGCTGTGGGGAGGCGCGCGCGTGCCCGCCGAGAACGGCCGCGCGGGGGAGAGGGGGAGAGGGGAGAGGGAGAACAGGAGGGGGAAAGGCAGGAGGGGAGGGGAGGGGGAGAGGAAGAGGAGACAGGGAGGGGAGGAGGGGTAGGGGTGGGGGAGAGAGGGGGAGGAGGGGCAGGGGTGGGGGAGACGGAGAGCTGGGGAGAGGGAGGGAAAGGGGAGGAGGAGCAGAGAGGGGCAGAGAGGGAGAAGGGGAGGAGGAGAGGTGAGAGGGAGAACGGGGGGGGGGAGGGAAAGGGGCGGGTAGGGGAGGTGAGGGAGGGAGAGGGAAGGGAGGGGAGGGGAAGAGAGGGGAGAGGAAGAGAGAGGGAGAGATAGGGAGAGGGGCAGGGATGGGGGAGAGGGAGGGGAAAGGGGAGGAGGGGCAGAGAGGCTGGGAGGGGAGAAGGGAAGAGGGGGAGATGGGGGGAGGGGGAGGGGCGGAGCTGGGGGCTGTGCACCTGGACCTCGTGATGGGTGCCGTGATGGGTGCCGAGGCTGCTGGATGGGGGATGGGGGGCGCAGCCCTCCCTTCTGCCGGGCTCCCCGGAGCTTTTGATAAAGGGCGCCTGCCGGGCATCTTCAGAGACTGCGCAGTTCCCGGTGGGCGGAGGGGACCGGTGGTCTCTACAAGTGCCCCCCCCACACACACACTGCGATGCAGCGGGGACCGCACCTGGGGTGTAGACCAGGCCCGTGACGGCCCCTGCTCTCCCGGGCACCTGGGGTGTAGACCGGGCCCGTGACGGCCCCTGCTCTCCCGGGCACCTGGAGTGTAGACCGGGCCCATGACGGCCCCTGCTCTCCCGGGCACCTGGGGTGTAGACCGGGCCCATGACGGCCCCTGCTCTCCCGGGCACTGGACGCAGCGTGCTGATGCCCGGCTCCTGTGACTTCCAGGGCAGCTGTGAGGACGGCAGTGGGTGGTCTCTGTTCTGGGTAGGGGGAGAGGCTGAGCAGACTCAGTCGCTGGCCTCTGATCAGGGAGCCGGGGACGCTCCCCTACCAGCAGCCTGGTGTCTCCAGGCCACTGCTTCCTCCCTGTCCACCCTCCTCCCTCCCCTCCCAGTGGCCCCTCAGGCTTCCCAAGGCCTGGTCGGCCTCATTAGGGCAAGCTTGTCTTTTTTTTTTTTTTTTTTTTTTTTAACGATGTATTTATTTGAAAGGCAGAGTTACAGAGACAGAAGGGGAGAGAGAAGTCTTCCACCCGCTGGTTCACTCCCTAAATGGCTGCAACAATTGGAGCTGGGCTGATCTAAAGGCAGGAGCTTCCTCCAGGTCTCTCACGTGGGTGCAGGGCCCAAGCACTTGGGCCATCCTCCACTGCTTTCCCAGGCCACGGCAGAGAGCTGGATGGGAAGTGGAACAGCTGGGACTCGAACCAGCGCCCGTACGGGATGCCGGCGCCGCAGGGGGAGGCTCAGCCTGCCGCGCCACAGCGCCGCCCAGCCTCCTAGATTTGGAGCTGTGGACGCCCGTGTGTGTCTGGTGCAGCACGAAGCAGAGTATACAGTTGGCATTCAGTTGATATTTGTTGAATTTCACTATCCCATTCCAAAGGGCTCCCCAGGGTTCCTGGCGCTGGCTGACCCTCGTGCTGGACAGCTCTTCACTGCCCGCAGGTGCGGCTGCCCAGCTGCCTGTGCAGTGTGGTGACGCCAGGGCAGCACGCGCACCCTGTGAACACCCTCGACGCTGAAGCGTCAGTCCCACGGGCACGCGACGCGCTTCCCGTGTTCTGCTGGATGCTCACGAGGACCCTGCGCGGTCACTGGTGTCACGTCAGCCCCATGTTACTGTCCGTGAGCCCAGCATCGAGTCGTCATTTGCCGCAGCCATAGAGGCGGGCGGGCAGTGGGCAGCGGGCAGCCGGGCCCGGATCAGGCCTGCACCTCCCCAGCCTGCAGACTGTGTCGATTCCCCCCCCACACACCCCGCACCCCAGGAAGAGGGGAGCGTCACGTGTATCCGGGGTGGGAGCCAGGCCATGGCGGATACTGAGTGGGAAACCTGGCCGCCGTTTCTACAGGATGGACTGTTTATGAATGATAACCATTTATAGTCCTTTTCTAGGTCAACAGAAAATAAGTCCATAATTTTATTATCAATTCCTTTTCATTTGAAGTGATATTTAATTTTGAAATTTGGATTAAAAATCGCTATCTGGTGGCGTGACGTTCTGTAAATAGCTGGGTTGCAAAAGGCACAGGTTGGCGTGGCAGGCTCCTCTCCGGTCCCCGTGGGCTCCCCACACCTGTTCTGTTGTCTCAGTTTTCATCACATTCCTTTAAAAAAAAAAATGACCTGGGGCCGGTGCATAGTGGGTGGTGCCGGCTTCCCATATGGGTGCCGGTTCCATCCCTTGCTGTTCCACTTCCAATCCAGCTCTCGGCCATGGTGCTATGGCCTGGGAAGGCAGTGGGGGATGCCCAAGTCCTTGGGCCCCTGCACCCACGTGGGAGACCAGAAGAAGCTCCTGGCTCCTGGCCTCGGATCAGCACAGCTTTGGCTGTCGCGGCCATCTGGGGAGTGAACCAGCACATGGAAGGTCTGTCTCTCTTTCCCTCTCTCCCTCTGTGTATCTAATTGTGCCTTTCAAATAAAATAAATACTTTTTTTTTTAAAAAAAGACCTGAAAATATTTTAAGGAAATTCTACCCCAGTAGAGGAAGGGCTTGGGAGAACAGTCCGCTCCTGGCAGCAGAGGGCGACCTTGGACTGCCTGGGCTGCGAGTCCCGAAGAACTGTGGCTCAGTATTCTGCTACAGAAAGTCCCACTGAAGACCCTTCTCATGCACACGGACGCGCGCGTGGCTCGGTTCTGGGCATCGGCAGAGCAGAGCAGAGGGAGCCCCCGGGGCCTTCTGCCTGTGTAGCAAGTGCCCTGTGGTTTTTTCCCGTGAAGTCTGACTTCTGAGATCACTTAGCCTCGGCCGTGCAGTGTTCGCTGGAGGGGAATCCCTGCGAGCCCTGCGGGAGAAGCCGAGGCTCTCACCCCCCCCCCCCCCCCCCCCGTTGTGCTGGCTTTTATCCACTTTAATTATAAACAGATTCGGGTCCAGTGTTCTCTTGGGATCAACATTGTGGAGTTATTTACATACATGTATTGCAGATGAGGGTAGAGGGGCGACCCGTCAGCTGTCCTTTTAAATGGCTATATATTTTTACAGTAATCCTTTTTAGAAGCAAAACTTAAGACCAAATTGTTGATGTTTCCCAAATAGCTACCAGCATAAATTTCTCATCTGCATCTAATAAAGACGAGAAGTGAAGCCAGACTGTAGTGTGCTCTGCTCGTCCATCTTCCCCGGCTGAAAACCCTTTGAAGTAAATTCCCAGTCATGAACTTGAGATCTAATTATCTGAACTGAATGCATTCGCAAGCCTCCTTCAGATTATTCCAAGTTTTAATGGCTATTGTAGGTCTGTCACCCCTCCCACTTTAACAGAACATCCTAACCCAATATGTTGTGGGTTCCTAAATTAATAATTTCTTACTGCAAAACTTGTTAAAGTTCAATGACATTATTACATGTTAAGGGACCAAGTTTGGCATAAAAATTCAAAGAAAAACTTTTGTGATTTATTAAATGCTTTTAGAATTTCTGAGTCTCAGAAGTCAAATTAACAGTGTGCCAGAAAAAAAATGGAAAACACACACACAGTGAAAAACAAAAACAAAACCCCAGCTGACCAGAGTGTCCTCAGAATGAAATTCTTGGCTCCCGCGTGACCGGGGAACAAAATGCATTTGTGAATGTCACCCGCTTGGTGGCCGGGGGGATTCAGGCCTCTCCCGAGCCGCGTGAAGCACTCTGTGTGGGCGCCCGCGTCGTGGGCGCGTGCCACTCGCTAGGCTGTCCCGGGCCTGCTCTCAGCAGCAGGAGACACTCAGACCCCTGGTACATCTGCTAATTTTATAGTGAGTTAATGCGGTAAGACGCCTACCCTAGAAAGGCAAAGGACAACGTAAGAACCACTGGATATTTTATTAAAGTAAGATTATTTTTGTTACAGTCAGATACTTCGTGCCTTAACATTAGTTATATTGTATAATATAGAAGGCAAAATATTCTTGTAGATTTGTATGAGGAATAAAAATATCTTAATAACACAATCGGAATTTACTTGAGAACACAGGATATAAATTAGTCCCCCAAATAAGGACAGAAGAGTCTCTACAGAGGATGCAATAAAGCTTTTGAATCAAAGGGAGTATACGATTTGTTTTGATAAAATATAATTAAATTTGATAAAATACAATTAAAAATGGAAATTTATTTTACCTTTAAGGAACGAAGACTTTTTGCAACAGTGTTTATCATTAAAACAGAAAGAAGGGCCTCTCCTGAAGTCTATATCCATCCTCCGGACTTTAACTTGTTAGGCAGATACACTCTGGAGAGATAGTCAGCCGACAGGACGGTCAGCGCCTGGATCCCCGCCTTCACCTTCGAGCTGGCCATCGCTTCCATCTGTCAGAGACACAAAGCGGAGTTCTCTGCTTCCCGTCGGGCCCACAGCAGCAGCCTAGACTCCGTTAGTCTCCGAACCGCAGGCCGTGGTCCTGGGCCACCCAGGGCCCGAGTGAGGACTCCCAGCTGCGCGCCTTCCATAACAACGCGTGCTCTGGGGTTTTTATAATTTTTCTTTTTTTTCAACCCCACCAGCTATGATACAGCCATTGAAACTGGGTCTGTAACCATTATTAGGATAAAAAGACCAGCTCCATTCGGGGGCTCTCCTCGTGTGATCAAAGTTCAGACAACGTGCTGCCCACCAGCACGGAACCTTTCCAGAAGGGAGTTTCCCAGTGTGAGCGACCACCAGCAGAGTGGGAGGCAGACAGCCAGCACCGGACACGACGCAGGGAACCCACCTCTGCTCGCCAGAGTGGCTGACAGGCGATGTAAGGTCTCTTCAGGATACTGTCCAGCTTCATCAGGTCCCGTTTCGTCAGTGGAATCAAACTGTCTTTAGGTACGTGTAACCTGGGGGGGAAATGGATTTTAAAAAAGCGAAACAGTCCGTGTAATTGAACAGGCATGAATTTCACCTGTACTGTACTTTGAGAAACTGAACTACGGACAATCAGTACACAGAAACCTCTCAAGTCTGGGGTTTGGGGGAATCTGTCATGTCCTGGATCAGTCTCCAAGGTCAAGTGGAAGTTTGCGTCTGGATCGTAAAGGGGTTTCTGTGCCTCCTGTCCCATGCGCAGTGTGCCGGCAGGAGGACCCTGGTGACTAACCAGCCACCAGTGGCACTGACGTCGCGCAGATCCACAGCCGAGATGCACTGAGGACCTTTAGGGTCCACGCGTGCTTAGTGCTTTGCAGTTCACTGGGTTGTGAGCCACTTTACACTATGTACGTGCACACAGTCAGCACACAGCCACCTGCCTCTGTTTTTTTTTTTTTTTTTTTTTTTTTTTTTTTTTAAGATTTATTTGAAAGGCAGAAACAGAGAAGAGAGAGAGATCTTCTGTTTGGTTCACTCCCCAGATGCCAGCCAGGCCAAACCAGAACTGAGGAGTTACATCCGGGTCTCCTGTGTGGGCAGAGGAACCAGATACTTCGGGCCCTGACCGCTGTCTTCCCAGGTCCATCGGCAGGAAGCTGGATTGGGCAGAGGAGCTGGGACTTGATCTCCAGTGTAGGGGTCAGCGTCGCAGATGCTGGGCTATCCCAGTGCGCACCATGCCGGCCCTGCCCTCATATTTTACATTTGAATACAGAACACAGTTTTTACCTAGGTGTTTTAGAAACAGAATGTGAGGGTTCATGGTGTCTGCTTTCTGAAGTCACAAATCCTAGATTTCCCAGGAGAGCTCTAGTTTCAAGTCTTTTTTTTTTTTTTTTTTTTTTTTAAAGATTTTATTTATTTAAGAGGCAAGAGTGAAAGGCGCTTTCATCCGCTGGTTCACTCCCCAGATGGCTGCAATGACCAGAGCTGCGCCAATCCGAAGCCAGGAGCCAGGAGCTTCTTCTGGGTCTCCCAACTGGATGCAGGGGCCCAAGCACCTGGGCCACCCCCACTGCTCTCCCAGGCCACAGCAGAGAGTTGGATCGTAAGTGGAGCAGCCGGGACTAGAACCAGCACCCATGTGGGATGCCAGCGCCACAGGCGGAGGCCTGACCTACTACGCCACAGTGCTGGCCCCTCAAGTAGTCTGTGAGCATGCCCACGGTCAGGGCCACTTGCCAACGGCAGCTCCTGGCTAGTGCTGACCGGGATTGACAGGGAGGCCTAGGGCGTTTCCCTGGAAGCCGTGTTTGTGCCGCTCCCGCAGGCTCAGCTCGATGGCGCATTTATCTGGAGGGGCTTTGAGGGCACTGCTGGGCTGTGTGCGATGCACCAGTGTCCCCAAGCCCTCCACCCTGGGCGTCGTCAGATCATTTGTGTTAGAAATGCTCTCACACGGACACGTGGCCCCCGGGGAGTCTGACCACGACGTCACTGGTCACCAAACTGGATCCCAGCTTGAACAAAGCGTTAATTCACTGCAGTGTGAGTGTTCAAAAATCAAAATGAAATATTTCTTCTTAGGCCGGCGCCGTGGCTCAATAGGCTAATCCTCCACCTTGCGGCGCCGGCACACCGGGTTCTAGTCCCGGTCGGGGCGCCGGATTCTGTCCCGGTTGCCCCTCTTCCAGTCCAGCTCTCTGCTATGGCCAGGGAGTGCAGTGGAGGATGGCCCAGGTGCTTGGGCCCTGCACCCCATGGGAGACCAGGAAAAGCACCTGGCTCCTGCCATCGGATCAGCGCGGTGCACCGGCTGCAGCGGCGGCCATTGGAGGGTGAACCAACGGCAAAGGAAGACCTTTCTCTCTGTCTCTCTCTCTCACTGTCCACTCTGCCTGTCAAAAAAAAAAAAAAAAAAAAAAAAAAAGAAATATTTCTTCTTGTGCCTTAACATTCACGTTCCGTATTTAGGGAGAAAAGCCCCCGTGACCAAGAACTGCTCACTGCCTAAGTAAACCCAGTAAATATGTTTGAGTTAGTTTCTCACCGGCCAGTGAAAACCGTAAGACGACACTGAAATACCAAGAACATGTCCGCGTCCTGGGCTGGGGGACAGGCGGGCTCTTACTCTCCAGAGAAGGCAAAATAACGAACGTGTGCAGAGGGCAGGAACCTGAGAAACACACACGGTGGCCCAGCAGTTCTGGGAACTCAGCCTAAGGGACGCCGTGAAGATTCAGGTAAAGACTGAGTTACAGGAAGGCCCTTCAAAGCTCTATCAGCACAGACATTTGGAAACCACGAAATGTCTGGCTTGGGGCTCGGGGCTGGGGGGGGCTGGCTGAGGCAGCACTCAGAACTTGGTAGGAGAAAACAGTAACACGAAGCCTCCAGAAGATAGCTTACTGAGGTGAAGCTGCACGCTGTGGCTGTGTGAGGAGCAGCAGTGGTTTGGGAGTTGCAGCTGCACAGGGAAAACCTAAAAAGCAGCGCCGCTCGTCTGTTGATTGCTATCTTGTTCCTTAGTGGCATTTTTTTCTATAACGAACATAAATGTTAAACTTACCAAACTTGGGGCTCTCAAACTTTAAATAATCTTAAAAAGAAAGTTTTAAATGAGTTGAAATTTTAGATCTCTCTGTGCCAGAATGGATTTGTGTGGCAAATGATGTGGTCAGAGGCCGGGGTGGCCCAGCAGGTTGAGCTGCTGCAGGCGACGCCAGCCTCAGAGCACTGGTTCGAGTCCTGGCTGCTCTGCTCTGATCCAGGGAAGGCAGCCAATGGCAGCCCAAGTGCCTGGAGCCTGCCAGCCTTGTGGGGGACCAGGATGGAGGCCCAGGCTCCTGGCTTCGGCCCGGCCCAGCCTTGGCTGTTGCAGCCTTTTGGGGAGTGAAGCCGTGGATAGAAGTTCTCTCTCAGACTCTGCCTTTCAAGTAAGTGGTTTAAAATGATATTGTCAATGATTACCATTTAATTGGATTCAATGTATTATATTTTAAGTATAAAAAGATTCACAAGATGTTTTAACTAGTAAAGCAAAAACATTTTCTAGCTAACAGAAAGCACAATTAACCAGACTCACCTGTTGAGTACTGAAGTGGTTGGAACAGAAACACTGATGGATTCAGTCCATAATTCTGTCATCTCGAATCATAACGGACAGCATGAGTAACGTGCAGAGCTCCCTCGTGTGACTGAGCTCATGGTTACCCACAGCAGTGACTCATCACTGCAGACACCTAGCCCTGTCGCAGGAACTCACCTGCTAACATCCGAGGGCAGGAGCCCAAGCCATCTGACAGCTGGAACCGTGAGGTGATGGGCTTCAAAACACATGGACTGAAAGCAAGCAGAGCGGCGGGTGAGGCTCAGCGCAGAGCTGGCGCCCGGGCAGCCGCGCTCCTGCCAGCAAGGACAGGACGCGGCCATGGCAGGAGGTCACCGGTCTGCACAACTGGGCTTTCAGTGAAGGTGGTAAACTTCTCTCTGGGTTTCTGTACTACTTTTCTTTTTTTATATATTTTTTAAAGATTTATGTATTTGAAAAGCGGACTTACAGAGGCACAGAGGCAGAGAGAGAGATGGAGAGAGAGAGAGATGGAGAGAGAGGTCTTCCATCTGCTGGTTCACTCCCCAGGTGGCCGCAACGGCCAGAGCTGCGCCAGTCCGAAGCCAGGAGCCAGGAGCTTCCTCCCGGTCTCCCATGCAGGGGCATCTTCCACTGCTTTCCCAGGCCATAGCAGAGAGCTGGATGGGAAGTGGAGCAGCCGGGACACAAACCAGCGCCCATATGGGATGCCGGCACCACAGAGGCTTAGCCCACTAGGCCACAGGGCCGGCCCCAGTGTACTGCTTTTCTCTAAAGCAAAACTAGCAAGCAGCCTCTCCCACCTGCACACTTCCTGCTTGTGATCCTGGGCCTCCCGCCCCGTGGCAGGGCCAGCCCCGCAGAGTCTGCCTCCCTCGGTTGGATGGGGCCTGAGCCTGCACTGCTACCGAGTTCAGGTTCCAGGTCACGCTGGTGCCCACACTGCCCTGTGGATGTTGCAGACCTGCAGGAACGTGGCTGGGGGGACGTTTCTCACTGTGGTGGGGACGGGACTGGCCAAGGCGGCATCTGGATGCTGTGTAATGTCTGGACGCTCTGGGTGACGGGCGGAGTCGCTGCGGCCCAGGGCCACAGTGGCTCAGCTGGCTGAGTGAGTGACCGCCCCCCGCCCCGCCCAGCGAAGCCACTGTTGTTTGTGCTGGACACTGGGATCGCAGCGGCAGGGCACAGATGGTCCTAGAACAGGACTCTGAGGGCACTGGGAGCGGAAATCTCCCCAGCGGGTGCAGAACATCTAGACAGCAGGGAAGGTGAGCTATTCTTCTGTACTTACCATAGATCCGTATTTATAGATACACATGATTTCTATGCCTGTCAAAAGAAAGTTAACTTTAAAATTAGCCGTGTATACCAAGTTTAGATAATTTGCACTTTCAAATTTTATCTAGCATTTGGAGTTTTTATTTTTGTGGATACTCTCAGTGAAAAATGTATAGTTCTTGGTTTAATACAGCAAAAGTAACAATTGCCTGAAATGAACACAGCCTAATTTTAATCTAATCATAATCCTTGAAGATGCTTCATCAAAGTGTTCTAGGCACAGGAAACCGCAGTGACACACACGATTCGGTTAGGACATTGTTCCAGACGGTCCGGGACAAGTTACCGTGTGGGTCGGCGTCGACGAGGGTGAACGCGGGAATGTGGAACGTGTCCCACAGCTTCTTCACTAAGAGCCGTGTGCTCAGATCAGGCGTCCCCTTTCCCTGAAGGCAAGTGGAAACAGGCATTTCAGCTCTAGCGAAGAAAAGGCGCGCAAGTATGTCCGACTGTGTTAAAGATTTAGAAGTCCCCCCCTACCACCACCACCTTGGATGCTAGGTGGCAGACGACTGCTGATGCCCGTATGAGAGGGTGAAAGCCCACACGGCATATCCTGGCTCTGTTACCCGAATCCTAGCAAGTGCTCCTAAGGAAACATTTCAGCAGAAACAGAAACACCAGTCCTCCTACTTAAAGCTACTCACTGCAGTTTACTTCAAACGGCATCAACTAACAGAAATAGACCAGGTATCTACAAGCAGAGACTTGGGGGCAGGGCAGTGGGGACAGGTGCAGGGCAGGCAACCCGGGCTGCCGAAGCCCCCCTCTGGTTCTGGGGCTCGGTAACCCCGTATGAGGTTATGACAGGAACTGAGTTATTCAATAGTCACAAAGCACAGAGAATGCCTGGTTCAGAGGTGGGACTGCGGTGGACGCCGCGGTGCGGCTGGTGATCCAGCTGCTTGGGGCCCGGCTTGTCTGACCCGGCTTCCTGGTGATATGCCAGGGGAGCAGAGCAGGGGTCAAGGACTTGAGTCCCTGCCTCCCACATGGAGACACAGATGGAGATCTGGCTCCTGGCTTCCACCTGGCCTGTCTCTGGCTGTTGTGGACATTTGGGGAGTCAGACAGTGAATGGAAGACCTGCTCCACATCTCCCTCTCTCACTGTGCCTTTCAAGTAAATACATAAAATAAATTGTTTTAAAAAATAAATTTAGGGTCCTGGGGCCGGCGCTGTGGCACAGCAGGTTAACGCTCTGGCCTGCAGTGCCGGCATCCCAATGAGCGCTGGTTCGAGTCCCGGCTGCTTCACTTCCAGTCCAGCTCTCTGCTGTGGCCTGGGAAAGCAGTAGAAGATGGCCCAAGTCCTTGGGCCCCTGCACCCACATGGGAGACCCAGAAAAAGCTCCTGGCTCCTGGCTTCAGGTTGGCACAGCTCCAGCCATTGTGGTCAACTGGGGAGTGAACCAGCAGATGGGAGACCTCTCTGTTAACTCTGACTTTCAAATAAATAAATCTTAAAAAAATAGATAATTTAGGGTCTAATAAATCCTAAGTGGTAGAAAAATAATTTTGAAGCTATTAGTACTAATTATGTAGGAAATTATTTTTTTTAAGATTTATTTATTTGAAAGAGTTACACAGAGGAAGGGGGGGGGAAGAGAGGTCTTCCATCCACTGGTTCACTCCCCAATTGGCTGCAATGGCTGGAGCTGCGCCGATCCGAAGCCAGGAGCCAGGAGCTTCTTCTGGGTCTCCCACATGGGTGCAGGGGCCCAAGGACTTGGGCCATCCTCCACTGCTTTCCCAGGCCACAGCAGAGAGCTGGATCAGAAGTGGAGCTGCCAGGACACGAATCGGCATCCATATGGGATGCTGGCACTGCAAGTGGTGGCTTTACCTGCTCTGCCGCAGTGCCAGCCCCAGAAATTAATTTTTAAATAGCATTATGATAGCGTTGAGGACGAAAATCATAAAACCAAGTGGAATGTGGACTAACATGCAATTAACAGTGGGCTTTGTGCAGGACAACTCCGAGTGCTGATCCTTTCCTGCTCACCCGGGGGGTGTGAACCTGGACATGTCCCACCTTACCTGTAAAACCAGGGTCCACGTTAGCTGCCACGTGGAGCCGTGGCACTGTACCCAACAGTGCTGAACCACTGACCCTAGCACTAGTTTTGAGAAGCCACAGGACTGCAGTGAAACAGTCGGTACTGAGGTGGGGGAGGGGACGGTACTCGCCGCTACAGTCGTCGGGAGTCTATACGTGACAAACAGCAGAGAATGAGCTCTTACTGCACATCTTGGACACTCAGGGAGCAGCAGTGTGTGTATTTTTCCTCTTGGGACCACGACCACGACCATGGAGTTCCGAGTCTGACGAATGGCCCCTTCCCAGCCAGCCCCTCCCTCCCCAGTCCCCGCCTTCAGATGCAGCTGCTACAGGTCAGCCCTGGGGCTACACGGGTGCTAGTGGCCCCTGTCGGTGGACGCTGCCGTGGCAGCAGTGTGAGAAGTGTGTGTGTGCCAGCGAGGAGAAGGCAGCATGCAAAAGGCAAGGCAGAGAGGGTGCAGCACGTGCCATCTTCCCTCTCGACCGCCCGTTGCTGTAACCGGGTCATATCCTCTCTTCAACCTGAGTGACAGAGAATCCTGACTCACGGGGTCGCCAAGGCACCAAGTGCCGCAGCTGATTCGAGCCCCAGGGCCGGTGAGGAGCCGGGGCTGCCTGCGGCGGCCTCCGTCTGTAGCTGCCTGGCTTCTGGTCAGCTGGGTGAGCAGAGCCTCAGCACCGAGATGTGAAAGAGGACTGGGTCAGAGAGCAGGCCGCACGGTACCCTGCACAGCGCCCCCAGCACGGGCCAGATACGGCCGCTGGTACTAATGAGGGACATTAAAAATTAGTGGGAAAAGGAATTAAAAAGATATCTACTTTGCTGCAGAAAGTTTTGAATTCTATGCACACATATGAGCTCTCAGTCTGCATTTTTCTTTTCTTTTTTTTTTTTTTTTGACAGGCAGAGTGGACAGTGAGAGACAGAGAGAAAAGTCTTTCTTTTCCATTGGTTCACCCCCCAATGGCCGCTGCGGCCGGCACACCGCGCCGATCCAAAGCCAGGAGCCAGGTGCTTCTCCTGGTCTCCCATGGGGTGCAGGGCCCAAGCACTTGGGCCATCCTCCACTGCACTCCCAGGCCACAGCAGAGAGCTGGACTGGAAGAGGGGCAACCGGGACTAAAGCCGGCGCCCATATGGGATGCCGGCGCTGCAGGTGGAGGATTAGCCTAGTGAGCCACAGCACCGGCCACAGTCTGCATTTTTCATCTCAAGTCTTGCTCCTGAACTTTAAACGAGGTGGACACGTGAGGGTTTTCTGCTGCCAGCACACGTGCGTATCTCTGGAACTGCACTGGTTCTCCTGTGAGGAGCCGAGTGCCTGCCGCTCTCCCGTAACTGCAGTGGCAATGCTGCTGTGAGGGTCCCCACGCCCACGCCCTGCTGACGCGGCACCCGCATCTTGCGGTCTCCAGGTCCTCTCGGATTGGCCTTGGACACACGTCTCAGTCTCCCCCCATTCGCCGCCCTAGCCGCCTTGCACCAAGAGAACTACCCGGAGTCTCCGGCCGGCTCCCTGAGCCCGGATCTCCCTCAGCCCAGCTAACTGATGCTCCCCAGTCACTCCCTGCCGGCCCGGAAGCTCCCGTGAGCGCCTGGTACTTCTGCGCTACTCAGACGCCGCCATGGCACTGGTCTGGCTGCCCAGGCTCCATGCAGCTGCCCAGCATCCTGCTCCCTGCCCAGGGAGCTGCCTTCACTGCTCCCACACACACACCTCCAGACGCCATCCCTCCCTAGCCCCACAAGCCAGAGGACTCTAAGTAGATGAGCTGCTTTTTCCTTCAGAGAGCGAGGCTTTTACAGACCTGTGAAGCAGAAGCCTGGGAGAGCGCTTTTCCAGAGCAGAACCTGGCCGTCCCTTACCCCGCCCACAGTCCCTCGCCTCACGCACACCCCGGCCTCCTGAGGTCACCCCTTGCTTCCTCCTCCACCAGGTTTCTCGGTCACTCGGCTTTAGGAACTTCCGCAGCCCTGTTGCAGGAAGCTTATTACCTGCAGTGGACTACATTTTGGAGCTCCTAAAAGTCACAGGTTGAAAACTCCTCTCCTGATATGACCCATTAGGAGGTGGGGTCAGTCCTTGGTGACCAGGTCTGCAGGACGGAGCCCTCCGAAGTGGGATTAGTGCCCTATGACAGGGGCCCCAGAGAGCTCTCTTTTCCCTACATGAGTCCTCGATGAGACGCTGGCCATGGATAAACCCGGAAGTGGGCCTTGGTTCTCAGAGACAGCAATCTGCTGGCACCTTGACCTTGGACACCCAGCGCCAGAACAGAGGAATGCGCGAGTGCTGTTGCAGCCACAGCCCCTTGGTGTGGGGAACTGCTGGTAGTAAAGAATGACCTTCGGATGTAGAATATGAGGGTTCTTCAAGAAGTTCTCGGGAAAAAATGGAATCGAAGGGGCTGGCGCTGTGGCCTAGCAGCTTAAAGCCCCAGCCTGCTGTGCCGGCATCCCATATGGGTGCCGATTTAAGTCCCAGCTGTTCCACTTCTGATCCAGCTCCCTGCTAATGCACCTGGGAAAGCAGTGGAAGATGGCGCAGGTCCTTGGGCCCCTGCACCCATGTGGGAGACCCAGAAGAAGCTCCTGGCTCCTGGCTCCAGATTGGTGCAGCTTTGGCCATGGCGGCCATCTGGGGAATGAACCAGCAGATGGAGGACCTCTCTCTCTCTCTCTCTCTCTCTGCCTCTCTGTAACTCTGCCTTTCAAATAAAATAATTAAATCTTTAAAAAAAGATACTCATTTTGGGGAGTTGATGCTGTGGCCTAGTAGGCTAAGCCTCTGCCTGTGGCATCAGTATCCCTTATGGGTGCCAGTTCATGTCCTGGCTGCTCCTGATCCAGCTCTCTGCTGTGGCCTGGGAAAGCAGCAGAAGATGGCCCAAGTGCTTGCGCCCCTGAACCCAAGTGGGAGACCCGGACGAAGCTCCTGGCTCCTGGCTTTGGATCAGCCCAGCTCTGGCCATTGCAGCCATTTGGGAAGTGAACCAGTGGATGGATGACCTGTCTTTTCCTCTCCCTCTCTTTCTCTGTAACTCTACTTCCTAAATAAATAAATGAAATATTTTTTAAAAAGATATTCATTTTGGTGCAAGAAAAAAATCTTGAAATCTATGCACAGCTTTTTCAAATATGCATTTTTTTTTTTAGATTTATTTATTTGAAAGTCAGAGTTACACAGAGAGAGGAGAGGCAGAGAGAAGTCTTCTGTCCGATGGCTCACTCCCCAAATGGCTGCTATAGCCGGAGCTGCGCCGATCTGAAGCCAGGAGCCAGGAGCCTCCTCCAGGCCCCCCACACGGCTGCAGGGGCCCAAGCACTTGGGCCACCTTCTACTGCTTTCCCAGGCCATAGCAGAGAGCTGGATTGGAAGAGGAGCAGCTGGGACTAGAACCGGCGCCCACATGGGATGCCGGTGCTTCAGGCCAGGGCGTTAACCCACTGCGCCACAGCGCCAGCCCCTCAAATATGCATTTTCATGAGCCACATTTTTCATGACGTTTTTGAAGACCCTTCCTGGGTGGCCTTGGGTTGTTCGGAGGTAGGAGGCAGTACCGTAACCATGATGCATGGAGACATTCTGCTGCAAAAGTTGTCATCTAGGAGCCGCTGAAATGTCGCATCCTTTTCTACAATTAATAGAAACTTTGCATCTGTAATCAGATCTCTGAAATTAAGGCTGATAAATTGAAGACGAGTAAGTATTTAATTATCAACTAAAATTACAGTGCCACATGCATAGTCAAAACCAGCCACAGACAGAACACTTTCATTTTCACCTTCAGAAATGTAAACACTTATTCCTAAGTTCAGACGTCCGTCTCTCCCACTGGAAGGTGAGCTCTTACAAGAGGGACTGTGGGTACTCATCTCGACTGCGTTGGGTCTGACTTGACCAGTACTTGTTGTGAGGGCTAGGCTTATCAAAGGAATGAACGAGCAGACATTCCAGAAGATGAAACCGTTTCCCCAAAGGATACTTCGAATTCCTTGAATATTAGATGGCACAGCAACAACCTAAGTTTAAAAAAAAAAAAAGAGCTTTTAAGTAAAAAGCAAGCATAATCATAGTGTATAATTTAATCACAAATCCTATGCTTTTGTTTTTCTTTGACTATACCAGTTCTCAAAGACTTATTACTCAGTGAGAAAACAGTAGGAAGCATATTTAATAACGCTCAGTAAGCAAACGGTCACGCTGGGGGCGGGGGTTGGCACTGTGGCACACTGGGTTGAGCTGCTGCCCGCAACGCTGGCACCCCACGAGAGGGCCTCTCAGAGGACGGCTGCTGTGTTTCTGACCCAGCTCCCTGCTAATGTGCTTGGGAAAGCAGCAGACGGCGGCCAAGTGCTTGGGTTCCCGCACCCACGTGGGAGGCCTGGATGGAGTTCTGGGCTCCTTCAGCCTGGCCCAGCCCCAGCCCTAGCTGTTGAGACAATCTGGAGAGTGAGCCAGCAGATGGAGGATGGATTCATATTCTCTCTCTCTCTCTCTCTCTCTCTCTCTCTGTCTCTCCCTCCCTCTTCTCTCTGTAACTCTGCCTTTCAAATAAATCTGTTGGAGAATCACCCACGCTTCTCGGCAGGGAGCATTTCTTGGAAGCTTTGTACAGTGTGGCTTAAACGGCGGCAACTGGTGCAGGGAACTCCCTTTTATAGTATCTCACTGTTGTCATCTTCCTCCTTCCAAGCGGCTAAGTCGCCCCTCCAAGCTGCTGTGGTCTTGCGGGACTGCGGGCCGTGTACACGCCAAAGCCCAGCAAGGAACGCAGCAGGAAGCGCACCATCTCAGGGTGGGCGCTTGGCAACGTGGTTCCGGGCTCCTTGAGGCGCCCACACCTCGTGCAGGGGTGCCTGGGCGCGAGTCCTAGCTCCGCTCCCAATTCAGCTTCCCCCTGGCGTGCACTCTGACGGCCAGGGTGGTGGCTAAGTGGTCAGGTCCTTGTCACCCGCGTGGGGACCCGGAGTGAGCGCCCAGCAAGCAGCTCAGCCTGGCCCAGTCCCGGCTGTGGCAGGTGTCTGAAGAGAGAACTAGCAGATGGCTCCCTGCTTTCTCTGCTCTCTGCCTTCCAAATAAATGAAGCAGATAAAACCAGATAAAAATGCAGGCATTAATTCGGGCAGGCATTCGGCGCGGTGGTCTGGGCGGCTGCAGGGAGTGCTCGGGTCCGTGTCCCCGCTCTGCGTCCAACCCAGCTTCCGCGATGCACACGTCGGAGGACCGCCGGTGAGGGCGCCACTGTTTGGGTCCCTGCTGCCCACAGGGCAGACCTGGACTGCGTTCCTGGCTCCCAGCTTTGGCCCAGCCCAGCCCTGGCTGCTGGGCATTTGGGGAGTGACCCAGCAAATGAGATCTCTCTGTCTGCCTCTCTCTGTCTCTACCTTTCAAATAAAAAATGAAAGCTAATTAAAAATAAAGAAAAGATACCTTCATTTCGAGCCAGAACAGTCACGCTGAGACGTCAGGCCGCACTCTGCTGGAAACAGCAGTGCACTAAAGGGAGTGCGCGTGCCTGCCCATCCCAACACGACGCTCCCCAGATGGCCGCCTTCAAGTCACGTAAGACACGGCCCCATAAAGCGTACACCTACCCACCCTCAGTTTTCTTTTATAATATTGAGCCCTAAATGACATGACAGCAAAACGAAAAATACACTTGTACGCTTTCAGATCAAAGGACTGAATGTGGGAACGAGACACTTACCGTGGCCCCGCAGGTGCAGCTCACCCTGGTGCCGTCTTCCTCCACGTAGCTCAGATTGCCAGCAATTAGACCTTTGGACGTAGACGACTGAGAAATCAAACAGATGTATCTGAAAGCTTTTTCATTAATATATTTTATGTTGCCAAATCACCCTCATGTTCACCTGCTGATTTTTTTTGTATTTCAGCTCAGATTGGAAGTTAACAGATGAAGGAGAAATATGTATGTAGGGGTATTTAGGAACTTAAAAATATTTGGTAATTCATCTACTTTGCCTTGAACCAAAGCAGATTATTTAAATCTACAGTGAGAAAGATATAGTGTCAATAGCAAAAGAAAGCAAAGTTGATATCTTATTACAGTTTTTATATAAACGTTTTATTTTCAAAGGAGACATTTTATACTACTCACAATATACTACTCACCACTTGCAGCAAGTGCAACTTACTATATGTAGACTCCTCCTTGGCACTTTTAACATACAAGAAATGTCATCGATAATACTGTCCACCACAGTCTGGCTTCCAAAGAGCTGGCTGTCCATGTAGTATATGTCTCTAGGGGAATTTGAACAATGGATTTTTAATTAACCACATTCTCTTTGACTATGATTAGTATGTTTTTGGAAGAAAGCTTTAACTGAATGAAACATGCCGTGAAAAGGTGGTAATTTATTTTAAGTTCTTTCTCAAAGTACATGTAGTAATGAAAGTTAATGCAACTAAGTCACATTGCATTTTAAAGAGTGACTTTACCAAATAACACATTTACCTTTTGGTTGCGTAAGTGTTGCTCTGTACTAATTTATAAATCATGGACAGTATTTTAAGAATTAGAGCTGCAAAACAAGATATAACAAGTCAGAAATTTGTCACTTATCTTACTAATTCATAAGATACTGGTCTAAGGATTTTAAGTGTCCCCAGTCACCTTCTGTAACATTTTTAAAACTCACCTTTCTAAAATAGAGGCGTTAGATAAAAAATAATTGCCTGAAGAATCGGATAAAATTAATTCTCTCAGGGTCAGCGTTGTGCCATACTGGGTAAAGCAGCCACCTGCGCTGCCAGCATCCCATACGGGTGCCAGTTCAAGTCCTGGCTGCTCCAGTTCCAATCCCGCTCCCTGCTAACAGACTTGGAAAGCAGCTGAAGATGGCCCAAGTGCTTGGGGCCCTCCCACCCACGTGAGAGACCCGGAGGAAGCTCCTGGCTCCGGCTTTGGCCTGGCCCAGCCTTGACTGTTGTGGCCACTGGGAAGTGAGCAGTGGATGGAAGATCTACTTCCCCTCCACCACGTCTCTATAATTCTTTCAAATAAATAAATAAATCTTTAAAAATATTAATTATTCTCTGGGGGAATAAAGCAGAGAGAATAATTTTCCATTGGCCCATATATCTTGAAAAATACACTTATTTCAGATAGTAATCTACCAACAATGAAAAATTCTAGAAACATATTTCAAATACAAAGGTGGTCTATGAAATAACACATATAATTATTTAATTAGGAACAACTAAAACACAGAATATAACAAAATGTATCCTTTATTACTAAAAGCTAAAAAAGATTACCAAATTTATGAGCGGATCTCTGTGAGTCACTTCTGACTTTTCTCGTGGTGCAGTGAGGGGCCATCTGAAGACCCGCTGACTCTGCAAACCTGCCATTGTGGAAAGCGAGGGGTGAACTTACAGGTTTGCCTTCTGAACACGAAACCCCATACACTTCCCTTCCTCTTCTGCACACCGTGAAACCCCACCGCAGCCTGAGGGTCAGCCGTCCTGTAGGCGCGGATCTCCCAGTGATCCAGTCGGCACAAAACCGAACACATACACAAAGCAGTAAGATTAAGTGGGAAGTAAATAAATTCCTTTGATTATGGAGTGTGTGTGCACACGTGCGTTTATTTCTTGGGCAGACAATCAGTATACAAAGCGTTTTAAAACATTTCATAATTTTACTAACGTTTAATACTTCACTGATTAAATATCTGGCCTGAAACCCCTCACTTCCGGGTCACCTGCAGCGCTGCCTCCCGTGGTAGCGGGAACCCGCCCCGCCACGCCTGCACTACAGGGGCAGAGGGCGCCCCTCGGGCCATGGCGCGGAGCACAGCTGGGGCGCTCCCGCCCTGCTCCCCCAGACAAGCCCTGGCTCCCAGAGCCCACGAGAACCCCCTCCCCCGGCCTGGGGACCTGCAGGACCGCTGGCCACGCGCGGTGACGAGGCTGCCCGCTGTGCTGTCGCCCACGCGTGGCAGGGCAGAGCTGGGGGGGGGGGGGCTGGTGAACGCGCTCGGCCAGGGACTCGCGCAGCTCCCCTGGCGCGCGCTCGCGGTCACAGTGTGGACGAGCGCCCCGTGGCACTGCCCACTCGGGAGCACGCCTCGAGGGCCCGCACCCAGCGCCCCGCGGCCGTGTGCAAAGCCCTGGCCGGGCGCAGACACACCTGACGTTCTGCCAGCTCGCTCTGTCGTGCAGCGCCAACGCAGGGGCCTCCCGCCTCGCCAGGCTCCGCACGACGTCCTCCACGACGCTCTCTATGGCGGCCAGCACCTCGGCGCTGGAACAGACGCGGGGGCCGGCTCAGCGCGAGGCAGCGCCCCGCGCCCACCCGGGACCCACCCAGGGCAGGTCTGCTCCCGACTGCTCGGGCGGACCCGCCCGCAGCTCGCCCTCCCACGCAGGGCCGGCTGGTCGCGGGGAGACGGTGCCGGCTTTCAGTCCTCAAGTATCCAGCTCAACCCGCATCTCCCTACACCGATGACGCGACAATGTGATTTGCAAGCACGTTTCTATCTGCTCCTCCTAGGAGCCTACTCCGGTCCAGCCGAGTTCCAGTACAAACTCGTTGGCTTGGAAGGCTGCCAGCAAGTGTTCTAATTAGCAGTGATGGAACACGGGCTTTGAATTTCTTTCCCCAAAACTGTAACGCAAATATATTTACAAGAAACACGTCTTGTCGCGTGGCGCATTACCCTAACTGAACTCACGCCTTACAACCGGCCCTTCTGAATTTCAAATACAAAAGGGAGAAAAGCTTAATCACGACCACGAAAAAAATCATGAGTTCCGCATTAAATGGTTGATTTGGCACTATTACACCAGGACGGAGCCCAGTGTTGTCAGCCGACTTGACTTCACAAACCATCAGCTTCCAAAAACGTTGTCCTAAGTGCGCTCAGCGTACCGTCGGGAAGGGCGCTCAGGCTCGGAACAGCCCGCGGAATGAAAGCTTTTACCGAAAACGACCCAAAAGCCAACTTTGAGAGCACTTGCTGTCCGCTGTGGCCGCCAGGCAAGGCCTGAGCGAGCCGTCCGCAGTGTGCTGCGGCGGAGAGCGCCCCAGCGAGGCGTTAACGGCCTCCGCGCCGGCCTCGCACGCAGCCTCCCGGAGAACTCGCCGCGCCGGCGCCGCCTCGTGCAGGCGAGCACCTCCGCCCACGCAGGGGCACCGCGGCCGGCCTGGACGCCACGCAGCCGTCTTGTGCGATGTCCGCGCGGCCCCGGGGACCTTAGCTGGTGCCGAATCAGCCCTTTAGCAGACTCTGTTCCCGCACAAACATGCACCACGTCAACCACGCTCTGGTCGTCAATTCTGGGAAAACCGTTAGCTTACCGAGCGAAAACTCAAATTCTCTCCAGCCCTTCCCAAAACACCTAAAAGCGTTTTAATTTAAAAATTTATAAAAAGTTTTTAAATGAAAATGCAGAGACAAACGGCGCCTCAAACTGCCTGACCCGAAGACTCTTGGGAAACTGTGGCCTCCGCAGTGGGGGAACCTCCTAGAACATTCTAGAAGAATGGTCCGGAGGACGCCGGGCCTTTCCGGTCAGCGCGAGGGCTGAGGGCAGAGGTGGTGGCGGCGGCGAGCTGAGGGCAGGCCTCGGCCGGGCGGCCCGCGGAGGTGAGCTGAGGGCAGAGGTGGCGGCGGCGAGCTGAGGGCAGGCCTCGGCCGGGCTGCCCGCGGAGGTGAGCTGAGGGCAGAGGTGGCGGCGGCGAGCTGAGGGCAGGCCTCAGCCGGGCGGCCCGCGGCCGCCGGGGACGTCCTCTCGCTTCCCAGTACCTGGAGGCCGGGCGAATCCCTGCGGCAGGGGGGTCCCCGCCACCTCGCTGCGCGGCCAACAGGGAAGCCCTGTGCCGCTCCAAAACCTCGAAGAACGAGGCCTCAGGCCCCATGGGCGCAAAAGCCATGAGGGAAACCAGGGAGAAAAAGCTCGCGAGGTCAATGCGACCCCGCTGTGTACCCCAGGATGGCTTTCCCAAACAAGATGGCGCTCTCCTCGCGCGTGCGGGCTGAGCCAGTGCGCATGCTCACACTCCTCCTCGCCGGGGCGCAGGGGACGCATGCGCATAGCATCCCTAATCCGACCCCGCTCTGTACCCTAAAATGGCTTTCCTATGCAAGATGGCGCTCTCCTCGCGCGTGTGGGTTGGGCCAGTGCGCATGCTCACACTCCTCCTCCCAGGGGCGGGGCGGGGCCGGCCGGACGCATGCGCATAGCATCCCTGTTGCAGCCGGCCTCAGCCTCGGCCGAAAGGCCAAGTGGTGGGCCGGCGCCTCTGGTCAGTGTCAGGGACCCGCGGGGCTAAGCTGGGACCTTCTGGTGGCTTGCGTGGGTGTTGGGCCCAGAATTCGTGAGGTGATTTTGAGAGGGCAGGCTGTTTAAGGCAAGGAACCTTCCCAGGTTTCCACTGAAACAAGTAATTAGAGAATCTAATTATACACCCGGTGTGGGTCTGGGCCGCGGCTCAGCTTTGATCCGGGCCAACAGCCCTGGCTTCGGGTTACCTGGCGAGGCTGCTTTCACTCAACCTCTGCCGGTCCCCTGGCAGCCCTGGGGAGGGCCTAGGTGGGGGCCCTGCCCGTCAAGAGCGAACCCACGCAGGCCAGGCTCCGGGTGGTGCAGCAGGATAAGCCTCCGCTTGCGGCGCCGGCATCCCATTGGGCGCCGGTTCGAGTCCCGGCTGCTCCACTTGCGATCCAGCTCTCTGCTGTGGCCTGGGAAAGCAGCGGACGATGGCCCAAGTCCTGGGCCCTGCACCTGCGTGGGGGACTGGGAAGAAGCTCCTGGCCCAGCTCCAGCTGTTGCGGCCATTTGGGGAGTGAACCAGTGGATGGAAGACTCTCTCTCTCTCTCTCTCCCTCCCTCCCTCCCCCTCTCTCTCCTTCTCACTGTCTTAACTCTACCTCTCAAATAAATAAGTCTATAAATCTTTGAAAAAAAAAATCCTGGCTCCACCACTGTCTACTCGGGCCACCACATTTAGCAAATTAAAATGCAGGACACTCAGTTCAATTTCAGATAAAATTAAGGGCAACTGCGCCCCGTATGATCCTGGGGACACACTCATTAAAAAGCCATTTCAGGGCTGGCGCTGGGCACAATGACTTCAGTTGCCGCTTGGAGAACGTGCATCCCTCACGCAAGCCCGGGCTGCAGCCCCCGCTGCTCTGCTTCTGATCCGGCCTCCTGCTGACGCGCCTGGACAGGCAGTGGAGCAGGCCTGGTCCTGGGCCCCTGCCACCGGGGACAGTCGGGATGGGGCTTCTGGTGCCTGGCTGAGACCCGGCCCAGACCTGGCTGTTGTGGCCACTGGGGAGTGAACCAGTGGTTGGAAGACCTCTCTCTCTCTCTCTCTCTCCGCCTCTCCTCTCACTGTTGCCCTACCTTTCACACAAATGAGTGAGTGAACAAGTGTTTTTAAACAAGTTGCTTCATTGTTTACCTGGAGTTCAGATTAAGGGGCGCCCTGTATTCCACCCAGCGGCACTGCCTTCGCCCACACCCCTGCAGACCTTCCCTCTCTCCGAGGCTTCAGGAGCAGGAGGGAATCGGAAGCCCAGGACCAGGAGGCAGTCCCGAACCTGGACACCGCCCTGGAGAGGGAGAGCAGTGGACGGGGCTGGGGCGGAGACGGAGCTGGGCCCACCCCCAAGAACGCTGCTGTTCCTTGCGTTGCTGGTGGCTTGGTCGTTTTGATAGCAAACTCATGGCCGGCGCCGCGGCTCACTAGGCTAATCCTCCGCCTGCGGCACTGGCACCGCGGGTTCTAGTCCCGGTCGGGGCACCGGATTCTGTCCCGGTTACCCCTCTTCCAGGCCAGCTCTCTGCTGTGGCCCGGGAGTGCAGTGGAGGATGGCCCAGGTGCTTGGGCCCTGCACCCCATGGGAGACCAGGATAAGTACCTGGCTCCTGGCTTCGGATCGGCTCAGCGCCGGCTGTAGCAACCATTTGGGGGGTGAACCAACCAAAGGAAGACCTTTCTCTCTGTCTCTCTCTCACTGTCTAACTCTGCCTGTCATAAATAACAAAAAAGAAAGCAGACTCGGTTTCCCGTCACACATAGTGGACACCTGCTCTATGCTGTGTGTGTGCACGCGTGCGTCTCCTGCGTGCGTCTCCTGCGTGCGGTGCCTTGCATTTCTGCTGTCACACTTGCATCCTCACTGCCTGCCCTGCGCTAGGGTGTGGCTGTGAGCAGAGTGGGTGCCCTCCCCGTGCGGAGCCCCGTGCGGAGCTCACAGCGTCAGGGGCGGGGGGGGGGACCTTTGAGTAATGAAGATGGCGGCAGAGAACTGTGCTGGCAGCCATTATCCCCATTCCGCAAGGGGAGAAAGGAGGCTTGGAGAGGCTGAGGATCGGGGAGACTGCACCCCAGGAAGTGACAGAGCCGGGAGGTGAGGCGTCACGCCAGACTCGCTCTGAACTGTTGGGACATCACACACACACACTCACACACATACACACACATACTGACACACACACACACCCTCACAACCCCCACACATTCTCACACACACACTCACCCTCACATACACTCACACACACAAACACACTTACACACTCACACACATACACACACATACACACTGACACACACCCCCTCACAACCCCCACACATTCTCACACACACACTCACCCTCACATATACTCACACCCTCACACACATACACACACATTCACACACACCCTCACACACATACACTCATACACTCACATTCTCACACACACCCTCACATACACTCACACACTCACACAAACACACTTACACACACATGCACATACACACACTGACACACACACCCTCACAACCCTCAGACACATACACTCATACCCCCTCACACACACACACACACCCTCATACACTCACACATACACCCACACACACTCACACACACATACACACACTCAGCCCTCACACTCACCCTCGCACACTCTCACACACTCACAACAGAACACACAACACACTCACACACCCTCACACATACACCCTCACACTCACCCTTACACACTCACACTCACACACACACACACCGCGGTCAGGCTGGGAGGGGATCGCCGTGTTGGGGGGCTGCTTTGGTGGGGTGGAGTCACCCCTCTGGCCTCAGTTCCCTTTCCTCTCTGGGAGGGCGTGGGGGAGGGCTCTCCTTTATCAGCCCCAGCGAACAAACCAAAGGCCCTTGCGGGCAGGCTGGTCTGGGACAGGCAGGGTCCCTATCCACTTACCTGTGGGCAGAGGACAGACGCCCCCAGCACCAGGTTAGCTCCAGAGCCCACCGGCAGCCAGCGGCCCACACGGTGGCAGCTCGCAAGCCGGGTGTGCGCTCAGCACGGCACTCAGGACAGCCTGGCACTCCTGGGGGGGAACACACTCAGGACAGCCTGGCACTCCTGGGTGGGGAACACACTCAGGACAGCCTGGCAGTCCTGGGGGGGAACGCACTCAGGACAGCCTGGCACTCCTGGGGGGGACGCACTCAGGACAGCCTGGCACTCCTGGGGGGGACGCACTCAGGACAGCCTGGCACTCCTGGGGGGGACGCACTCAGGACAGCCTGGCACTCCTGGGGAGGACACACTCAGGACAGCCTGGCACTCCTGGGGGGGACGCACTCAGGACAGCCTGGCACTCCTGTGGGGGTGAACACACTCAGGACAGCCTGGCACTCCTGGGGGAACACACTCAGGATAGCCTGGCACTCCTGGGGGGGAACACACTCAGGACAGCCTGGCACTCCTGGGGGGGACGCACTCAGGACAGCCTGGCACTCCTGGGGGGGACGCACTCAGGACAGCCTGGCACTCCTGGGGAGGACGCACTCAGGACAGCCTGGCACTCCTGGGGGGGACGCACTCAGGACAGCCTGGCACTCCTGGGGGGCACACTCAGGACAGCCTGGCACTCCTGGGGGGGGGAACACACTCAGGACAGCCTGGCACTCCTGGGGGGGACGCACTCAGGACAGCCTGGCACTCCTGGGGGGGGAAGCGTCTGCAGGGGGGCCCGCCCTTCCAGCAGCTGTGCCCAGCCCCAGCCCCAGCCCTCAGGGCGCACACCTGTGGGCCTCCAGCGGCTGTGGGCCCCGCCTCCACATCAGTCAGGGGTCCCAGCCCCGGGCTGTGAGACTCAACCAGAAAACACACTCTGCCCACCCCTCCCCCCCCCACCGCGGCAGGTTGCCATGAGCTCCGGCAAGGACCTGCCAGCTGCTGAGCCTTCCCCGAACCCACGGTGGGTCTTTCCTCAGCCTTGACCTGAGCCCACGGTGGGTCTTTCCTCAGCCTTGACCTGAGCCCACGGTGGGTCTTTCCTCAGCCTTGACCTGAGCCCACGGTGGGTCTTTCCTCAGCCTTGACCTGAGCCCACGGTGGGTCTTTCCTCAGCCTTGACCCGAGCCCACGGTGGGTCTTTCCTCAGCCTTGACCTGAGCCCACGGTGGGTCTTTCCTCAGCCTTGACCTGAGCCCAGAACCCGTCTAAGGGCCCAGACTTCCCAGCAGGTTGAACGGAGTATCCTTTACATTGGGCCCAGAACCCGTCCTACCTCTGACACGCACCGGAAAAGGGCCAGGAGGTAGGCAGGGGTGAGGGAGGCTTTCCAACAGCCAGCCGGGGGTGGGGGGTGCTCGTTCGCTTTGCTGGACCGAGTTGCTGGCTTAGTCGACCTAAACTATCACGGATTCTGGGGGAGATGTGCGCGGCAGAGGTGGGGTGGGGTCAAGTCCTGCCTCGGCTTCCGACCCAGCTGCCTGCTGGTGTGCTCCCAGGAAGGCAGCGGGTGACGGTCCGAGCGCCTGGGCGCCCGACACCCATTTGGGAGATTCAGATGGCGTCCCAGGATCCCAGCTTTGGCCTGGTCCAGACCTGCACATTGTGGCCACCTGGGGAATGAACTAGCAAATGGAAGGTCTCTCTCTCTCTGTCTCTCTCTCTGTGTCTCTTTGTAACTATTTGGAAGGCAGAGTTAGAGAGAGAGAGAGAGAGGGAGAGCAAGCGAGTGAGAGAGCATTTCTATTGGTTGGTTCACTCCCCAAATGGTTGCAACATCCATGGCTGGGCCATGCTGAAGTCAGGAGCCAGCAGCTTCCACTGGGTCTCCCGGGTGGGTGCAGGGCCCGAGCACTTGGGCCATCTTCCGCTGCTTCCCCAGGCGCATCGGCAGGGAGCTGGATTGGAAGTGGAGCAGCCGGGACTCGAACATTAGTCACAGCGTGGGACCTCAAATCTTGCCATCATGTGTCCCCATCAGAGGGTGAGGGACGTGCACGCACCCACGGCCGGGGACTGACGTGTCTCTGATATCTTCTGTTGCTGTCTTCCTCAAGCCACCTGGGCTGCTGGCGGCTCTCCGCCACGCCCCCCTGCGCAGATTCCAGAGGCCCTGGCCCAGAGACGCACGTGGTGGCTGCCAGGCAGCCTGCCCCAAAGCTCTCGCCGTATCTGAAACCCGGCCAGCACGGAACGGAGACTTGCTCTGACTTCAGGAGACATTTACAATTCCAGAGTGGCTTTCCTCCTTCTCCTCCTCCGCTGCTTTTATTGCTTGCTTTTCCCTTTTAAAGGCTTCTTGGTAACTGGTTTTGATAGAAAGAGACCATTTTGCAGAAGCCCAGAAGGTGTGTTAGAGCCCGAAGCCAGGGTGAGGAACCCCTACAGGTGTCTCACCTTCCCATTCCACGCGCTGGCCACGCACAGGCGCACGCCGGCAGGGCCATCCCACTTCCCAGCTGGCAGATCAGGGATTTAGCCGACACCTGGTGGAGGCCCCTTTGTGGCCCCCAGCGCGCGTCTTGGAAGTCCAAGGTCACTAGGAACAACTGACACTCCGTGGCACGGATTCACCCCCTCCGTTCATTCACTCACCGCCAGCCCCTTGTGGCTCCCTTTTCCGGCTGTTTTAAAGCGCACTGCCATGAGCACCCCGCGCAGGCTTCGGTGCAGGCGTGGTTTTCGTTTCTCGGGGCACACGCCTCAGAGCGGAAGTGCCGGGCCACGGGTAGCGGAAGGCTCAGCATTTTGCAGAGCGGCGAGCTCACCGAGCCGTGTGGTTGCCTTCCCCCGCGCTCCCTTCTCTCCGTCATCCTAGGCGCCAGGCAGAGCTCTGGCCCTTAAGCACATAATGCGCTCTACGCCGAGCACGCGTTTCCACAGAGAATGAAGGGGAAATGAGGTCGCGCATGTGAAACGCTTGCTCTGGCCTCAGCACTGACCAGTTGAAGCTGCGTCCGGCTAGGGGACCCTGCAGGATGTCTCCTGAGACCGGCTTGCTACAAGCATTGTGTGTGCAGGAGGCGCAGCTACTGACCATGTGGAGACGGACATCCCTGGGCTTGTTTCCTGCGTAGGACGTAGGACGGGCGAACCTTCACCCCCACCAGATTTTGCCAAATGAGCCTCTGCTGTGGTTGGCCCGCAGTGCGCCCCGGGGCAGAGTTTCTCTTGCACGCCTCCTTGCCAAATGCCAGCACGTTTTACTTCTTGCACACGTGCCGGGCGTGAAGTGGCATCACCGCCTGGCTTTGACTTGGATGCCAGGCACTTGGATTTATTTATCTGTTGAGGGTAGCAGGGAGAAATCTCACGTCTACTGGTTCACTCCACAAATGCCCGCCATGGCCAGGGGCTGGGCCAGCTGGCAGCTGGCAGCCTGGAAGTCAGTGCAGGTCTCCCATGGGGGTGGGGGGACCCAAGGACTTGAGCCATCACCTGCTGCCTCCCAGGGTCTGCACTAGCAGGAGGCTGGAGTCAGGAGCCGGAGCCAGGACTTGAAGCCAGGTGCTCCGTGGGGGACGTGGGAGTCGGAATTCTTAGGCTAAACACCTGTTCTACTTCCCACCTGCAGAAACTAGTATTATCCCTGATTTGCCAATGAAAAATTAGGCTTTGACAGGTGTAGGGCCCGTCTGACGTGGAGCTGCACAGCCTGGCTCCAATGCCTGGTCCTCACCTGTCTCCGCTTCTCACGGAGCCCAGAGCCGTCAGAGGAAGACGAGAAAGATCTCAGGCCAGCTGTGTGAGGACACAGAAATGTGAGGACTACGTTCGTTCTTTGATTCAGCAGTTTCTGAGCACCTAGCCGGTGCCAGGCTCCGCGAACAAAATAAAGTCCCTGTTCACAGGACTTCCTGGCCCAGTGGAGGAGATGAGGCAAAGCCACCTGTGGTACCACAGAAGCTCCGGGAAGAGAAATAAACCCGAGGCGAGGGGCTGGGCATGCCGTTGCTGCAGTCAGGCTTCTCCAGGAGGGCTTGGCTGTGCAGAGCCCGAGCCGGGCGAGGGAGCCCGCGACGGGCTGGCGACAGGAGTGGCTTCCCCGGCAGGGCCTGGTCGGGAAGCAGGGCTGGGATCCGGAGGAGCAACAGGGATGCGAACTCGCAGCGCTCTGGTGAAGATGGCAGGGGGCGTGAGACAGGGAGGCAGGTGGCCTGTCGGGCTGAGGACAGCCCGGCTGATGGGCACCCAGGAGACCGGGCTCTGCCGACTCCAGGAGTGAGGCCGGAGGAGACCTGGAGCTGCAGGAGAGGACACAGCCGGAGGGCAGCCCCGCCGTGCCCGGCTTCCCGCCTCCAGCACCGGCCGTCACTAAACGCTGGTGGTTTGAGGCTGCTAGATAGGGGATGCTTGGCTGTGTGGAATAGAGGCTGGGATGGAATCCGCACGGCTGGACAGACAGCACGGCACAGAGAGAGGACGTGAGGCCCCGGAGGGCAGGCCGGATCCCAGGGGCCCTGGAGATGACTTTGGCTTTACGCTCAGGGGGACAGGAAACGGCCACCAGGGTCTAAGTCCCAGACTGCTTCGTCCTCTGAGTTCTCTCATCCTTCGTCCTGCCCAGTTTGCACACCACCACCACACCCGACTCCCTTATGGCTGGCTGGCTGTCTCTCCATCATCCACCTGTCCGTGGTGCATGTGGATCTGGACCCAGCACGAACGACTTCACCCTCACATTGTGGGGCTCCGCGCTGCAGGAGCTCAAACCTTACCTTCCGAAATCCGGGTCTCCCCACCCTCCGCTTCGCTCCTCTGCTGTCTTCACTCTCGCGGTGGCGGTGAGGTCACCGGCAGCTGAGCGCCCACACCCAGCTCTCAGCAATGCAGGCAGAGCCCCCACCTTCCCCCTGAGTCTTGAGGGGGCTGTACAGGGGCTCAGCGGGATCACGTGACCACTCTGGAGCCAGGAGCAAGGCTGGAGGGCGGGATGAGTTTAGGGGCCAGCCCTGGGCTGTGCACCTGTTACGGGAGGGCTGGCGGGAGTTTCTCTTAGGGAAGGGGAACTTTTTCTGCCAAGGGCCATTTGGAGATTTACAGCATCACTTGCAGACCACACAAAAGTATCGACTCAAACAGCACGCTAGGGGCTGTGTGGCGGTGCAGTGGGTTAAGCTGCTACCCACGGTGCTGTCACCCCACGTGAGTGCTTGTTCGAGTCCTGGTTGCTCCACTTCTGGGGCCCCTGCACCCATGTGGGAGACCCAGAGGAAGTTCCAGGCTCCTGGCTTCAGCATGGCCCAGCCTCGGCTGTTGCAGCCACTTAGGGAGTGAGTCAGGGGATGGAAAATCTCTCTCTCTTTCTCTCTCTCCCACCCCTTTCTTTCTGTAACTCTGCCCTTTAAATAAATAAAAATCAATCTTAAAAACATGGGGGCCGGTGCTGTGGCATAGTAGCCTAAGCCTCTGTCTGTGGTGCTGGCATCCCATATGGGCGCCGCTTGGAGTCCCGGCTGCTCCTCTTCCGATCCAGCTCCCTGCTGTGGCCTGGGAAGGCAGTGGAAGCTGCCCAGTGTGCTTGGGCCCTGTATCCACGTGAGAGACCCTCCAGAAGCTCCTGGCTTCGGGTCGGTCCAGCTCCGGCCATTGTGGCCATTTGGGGAGTGAACCAGCGGATGGAAGACCTCTCTCTCTGTCTCTGTAACTCTACCTCTCAATTAAATAATATCTTTTTTTAAAAAATTAGCCTGCTATAGGGTTGTTGAATCCCAAGTGCTGCCTGCAGTTGCCTTGGCAGGATTGGAGCAAATGACCTCTCAGGCCACACATGGACCTGGTGTTCCCCACCCCTGCTTAGGTCCGACTGCAGCCCTGGACTAACAGAGGAAGGTGGCTCTTCGGGGTCCGTGAGGGAGTCACGGTTGCCGTGAGCAGAAAAGCAGGAACACAGGCCGGACGGCCAAAGCTGCAGCTGCCCCGTAATCACAGCTCTGTCTACACGCGCGGTCGCCGTGGGTGCTGGAAGCAAAGACAGGGCTTCTCCGCGGAGACTCAAAGCTGCACGCTCTGCCCCGCAGGGATCGCCCCCCACCCCGTTATCTCTGCGTCCTATCAGATCTTGGCACAGGCAGCAGGAGCTGGGGAGGAGGAAGGAGCCCTGCCTTTGGCCCAGTTGTTTCCTGGAGAAATAAACAGAGAAACCCAGACGCACAGATGCCTGGACCAGCGCGGCAGCCCTGGGAGGCGCGGGCTCAGAGCTGGCCGTGGTAAACACAGCCGAGCACGCAGACGCAGCGCAGCTGCAGGGGCCCTGGGGCGGGGGGGGGGCACTGCCCAGCCGCCCACGGGGCGTGGGAGTGCGCATCTCCGGGGCATCTCCTCCTCCTCACTTCTCGAAGGCGGGATTATAAATGATTGACGCACAGTGGCCTGCACAGAGGTTTCAGCGCCCCGCCCTGCCGCGCACCTCCGCAGCTGTCTCGGGCCTCTGTGCCTGCTGCTTCCGTAGCCTGCAGCGCTGGGCCGTCCACACCTGGCCACCATGCCGCTCCCTCACTTCCGGTGCGGGTTTTGCTGAATCGCGGTGAGGAAGTGGGCGGAGCCGGCCTCTGGATGTCAGCTGCCTGTGAGCAGGAGGGTGGGGTCCCGCTGTCCAGGCACAGCAGCTGAGCGGCCACATGTGCGGGGCTGGGCGCTGGCCAGGACCGTGGTGGTGCCGGGGACGGCACAGGAGGCGTCTCACTCTCCGTTGCTGGGCGCTAAGGGAGGCGCCCTCTTTCCAAGCTCAAGCACTGTGGGCAGCCCCGCCCTGCCCCCGCCCCCACCCGCACCCCCGAGGGTGGCGACCCTGCTTGCCAGGCGGCTGCTGGTCCCTGTGGCCGTCCACTGTGGAGGCTGGAGAACTCAGCCCGGGCCGGCCTGCCTCCCGTGGGCCCGCACATCCGGCACTGAGTCCACGAAGCTCGCGCCGGGTGAATGCCAGGCGTGGCCTCCCTGCCCCGGCCTTGACAGGCCACAGGCTGCTTCTGTCTTCCCCCCCGAAGACAAGGGTGACCCGCTCACGTTGCTTTCACGCACGGCCGGGGGCTGCCCCCTCCTTGCCCTCTCCCTGCAGGGCTGGGACCCCTGCCCCACTGATGGCAGGGGCTCCCTCTGCCCCGCCCCGGCCCCAGCCCTGTGCCTCTGGACGAGTGTTTCAGCCCCACCAAGCCTCTCTGTCCTCCCCAGCAGGGCTGCAAGGGTTAACAGCATGGACCAGATAAAGACTGGCACAGCAGGTGCTCACCTGACGGGAGCAATCCTGGCTTTTAAAAAAAAATTGCTTATTTATTTATTTTATTTGAAAGGTGGGGGTCGGGGGAGAGATCTCTCTGCTATGCCCATGTGCACCCCAGCAGCCATGATGTCTAAGGCGTCTAAAACAGCCAGCCCAGCAGCCCTGCGCTTCTGTCACTCACCCTAGTGTCCCTGCACTTCCTGTCACCACCCTGGTGTCCCTGCACTTCCTGTCACCACCCTAGTGTCCCTGCACTTCCTGTCACCACCCTGGTGTCCCCTGCACTTCCTGTCACCACACCAGTGTCCCCTGCACTTCCTGTCACCCTAGTGTCCCTGCACTTCCTGTCACCCCAGTGTCCCTGCACTTCCTGTCACCCTGGTGTTCCTGCACTTCCTGTCACCACCCTGGTGTCCCTGCACTTCCTGTCACCACCCCAGTGTCCCTGCACTTCCTGTCACTCCAGTGTCCCTGCACTTCCTGTCACCACCCTAGTGTCCCTGCACTTCCTGTCACCACCCCAGTGTCCCTGCACTTCCTGTCACCACCCTGGTGTCCCTGCACTTCCTGTCACCCCAGTGTCCCTGCACTTCCTGTCACCCTAGTGTCCCTGCACTTCCTGTCACCCCGGTGTCCCTCCTCACCCCAGCTTCCTGTCACTCGGGCTTCAGCTCTGTGGCACCCTCACGGTCACTTTCTCAGCTAAGTCATCAGCGCGTCACCCAGACACAGGAACTCCTGGGGAAGAGGCGGCAGCGGGGCGGAGGGGAGCAGGCACCAGACCGCTGGCCGGAGCGCCCTCGGGGACGGCGCCGTCACCGGCTTCCCTGGTCCATGCTCCTGCATCTGCCGCGTTGGACAGGAAGCTGGCTGTGCATCTCTCCACAGGCTCACAGCTCACGGCCGCGCCCAGTCCTGGATGCCACAGGCTCTGCCTCGGTTCACGCTGAGTTCTGCTGTGTGACCTGGGCAGGCCTCTCTGTGCCTCGGCTTCACTCTGTAAGGTGGGGACGGTCAGGGCTAGTGCTGGGGTGTAATGGGTAAAGACACTGTCTACTGTGCTGGCATCCCATATGGGTCCCGGCTGCTCCACTTCTGATCCTGCTCTCTGCTAATGTGCCTGGGAAAGCCACGGAAGCTGGCCCAAGTGTTTAGGGCCCCGTCACCCACATGGGAGACCCGGTTGAAGCTCCTGGCTCCAGCCTGGCCCAACACTGGTCATTATGGTCATCTGGGGAGTGAACCAGTGCGGGAAGACCTGTCTCTCATGCTGTCTCTCCCTCTCTCTCTCTCTCTCTCTCTCTCTCTCTCTCTCTCTCTTTGGAGCTCTGATTTTCAAATTAAAAATAAATAAAAAATTGTTTTTAAAAGAAGAAAATATCTGCTGATTGTAAGACTCAATATCTTACAGATCAGAATGTGTACAAATCAGCTGAAATCCAATCATTATTTTTGGATCTTGCACTATTTTTTTTTTAAAGATTTTATTTATTTATTTGAGAAGTGGAGTTACACAGAGAGAGAGAGAGAGAGAGAGAGAGAGGTCTTCCATCCACCGGTTCACTCCCCAAACGGCCGCAAAGGCCAGAGCTGTGCCCATCTGAAGCCGGGAGCCGAGAGCTTCCTCTGGATCCCAAGGACTTGGTCCATCTTCTACTGCTTTCCCAGGCCAAAGCAGAGAGCCGGATCAGAAGAGGAACAGCCGGGACTCGAACCAGCGCCCATGTGGGATTCTGGAGCCAGCCTTTCATCTTGCATCCTTAATAGGATGCAACACATTGCTTCCAAAACTCATGTGGAAAAACAAAAGGCGAAGACTAATTCCGACAGTTTGGGAAAACAGCTGGGAGGACCCACCTTACCCATCCCTGAGAGCTGCTTTCAGAGTTCTGGTTATCGAGAGAGGCGCACAGGGAAACATTCGCAGAGAGATGGGCCAAGGACCCAGCCGGGAGCTCGGACTGCACCTGGGCCTCCTACGTGGGCGGCAGGGCCCCAAGCACTTGAACCCTCGTCTGCGGCCTCCCAGGAAGCAGGTTAGCAGGGAGCTGGATCGGAAGCAGAGGGGGGGCCCGCTCCCAGGCACCCCGAGACGGGATGCGGAAGTCCCGGGAGCAGCTCACCTGCTGTGCTGAGCGCCACCTCTCCCTTCCTTTTTGTTGGGAAAACCCAGCTCCCACCCTGGAAGATGATCTGCGGGGCCAGGTGGGGGTACCTGCTAGGATTCTGGCAGGCGAGACCGGGACACGGTGGCCGCTGTATGTGACGCTGACCCACAGCAGTGTGTGCTCACCCCGAGGAGGACCAGCTGGTCAACATGGATGAGCAAGCAAAGAGATATGCAGGACCCCGGCCTGTGACGGCTTCGGAGACCCCAGTGCTGACTGGGACTGCCCACCGGCAGACGCGGGGGTCCCGGACACGGCCTGCCCCTTCCCCATCACCCAGTTTGCCGCTGACCGGCTGTGATCTGCTGTCAGGTCAGTCCCACTCGATGTACAAACCGCGCCTTGGCAGGGGTTCGCTGTGGGAACGAGCGGGGTTTGTCGTGCACCCAGCAGTCCCTCGCGCCAGTGAGCCTTTGCTGAGGTCAGCCACACGCTCGCCGGCACACAGAAGCCCTTCCGTGCCGTGACGGCACTAGTGCTCACGGTGGCTGTGTCTGCGGCACTCCCCACGCGCTTGCTGGGAGTGAGGCTCTGATGACCCCAGAGAGGTTAGGGCACTCGCTCCAGGCTCTACAGCTCCAAAGTGGCCGAGCAGGGACTGGACTCTAAGCCCGTCTGCAAGACTCCAGGGCCCACCCATCTCCTCGGGGAGGCCCTTCCTCCCAGGGAGCAGCCCGGCCCTTTGCTGCCCCACGTGGGAGCCCCCGTGGCAATGGATCAGTCGACAAGCCCCGCGGAGTGCAGTCGCTCTTGGCTGCCGGGGAGCCCAGCTCAGGCCCTCCCTGTGATGTGGTTGGTCCTGGTGTGCTCCCCAGAGGGGCAGGGGAGAGCCAAAAACTCCTGGCTCGGATGCCTCGCTAATAGGACTAGAATGTTCCTGTCAAGAGGGATTTCTTGGGGGGATGGCCAAGCGAGCCACGTCCTCAGCTGCTGCTGGAGGCAGAGGACAATCGGGACGCGTCCCCAGCGGCTGTGACACTTCTCGGGGCCTGCTAGCTGCACACCACGGGGCTGGGCGGGGCCGGGGCTGTCTCGGAGCCTCTTTCTTGCCTTTCTGTCCTTTCTCTGCTTCTCCTGAACGTCTCACTCTCAGCATCGGCTTTCAGGACCTCGATGGCCAGGCGGGCGAATGGGGCGACAGCCCTGTCTTCTGGGGGACCCCTTCATCTCATCGGCCCATGCACCTGCTCGACTGTGGGGAGCCCTGGGCCAGCCAGCATCTGCGATTACTGTTTCCCTTCAGATTCTCCCGGCTGGCTCCCTGGACGATGTCCTTGGCCAGCTTCAGCCTGGACACCGCACAGTCCACCCCCTCTGGAGCGCTAGCGCTGGGCTCTCATAAAGTCGCCACCGAGCTCCCCGGAGTCTTCAAAGAGAGGAGAGAAGCGGGAGGCGGCCACGGGGGCCGGCAGCCTACAGATCGCGGCCTCCCTCGGGCTGGCAGTCATGTGCCGCGTGACCCGGGACGGGGAGCTAATTGCACACAGATCTGTTTTCCTCTCCTTATCCATGGATCTGCAGCTCTGAAGGCTCCACCCTCTGCACAGTGTGCAGCAAAGACAGCTGTTCCTGGCGTCCTGGGCCTGTGAGCGTCCATCTCCATTGGCGTCTTGCTTGGTGTCCTGCTGCTGGGCCCTGGGGGCCCCATGAACGCTCTGTCTTGGGGCCCTGGACTCTGTGTGCTGGACCCGGACAAACGGCTTCGCAGCGTAGGCTGTGCTGATCTTTTTGCCACTCACCCCCAGCTGGTGACAGGCGAAGGGGCTTCCGGAAGTTCACGGGCAGATGGAATTACAAAGACGCTTTCAGGGGCCGGTGCTTGGCCTTGTGGCTAAGCCAAGGGTCAAGGCACCCACAACCGCATCGGGGTGGCTGAGCTTCATCCCCAGCTCCGACGGCTGGTTCCAGCTTCCCGCCAGTGCAGACCACGAGAGGCAGCAGGTGGCTGCGTCCCTGCCTGCACCCTCGTGGGAGACCCGGGCTGAGCTCCTGGTTCCTGGATTTGGCCTGGCCCAGCCCTGGCCATTAAGGGCATTTTGGGAATGGATCAGTGGGTGGGAGCTCTGTCTCTTTCTTTGCCTCTCAAAGAAATAAAAACATATACTAGGAAAGTGAGCTCACTTGCTGCCAAAATTTTTGAAACCTGTGCTCTTTTTTTTTTTTCTCACCATATGCGTTTTCCACGAATCTTACGAAGACCGTTCATACAGGTCCAAGTGGCAGCTCCCCAGCTGGGCTAAGCTGCTGGCGGGGTCCCTGAGGGCGGTCCCTGCTGGGGGCTGGTCCCTGTTTCCACGCTGCACCGTCAGCTCTGAAGCCAGGACTCCCTCCTTAGCCCGAACTGCAGGCACCCGGCTTTCGGCTCGTGTCCGTGCCTCTCCCTGTGGGAGGCTCTGTTTCTCCTCCCACTCCCTGTGACGAGCCGCCCGACTCCCACCTGCTGCCCGCAGCAGGACCCCTGCCTTGCCCCGTGTCCAGAACAGCGGTGTAGACGCCAGGGTGTGCAGGGACTCCAGCTGCAATAATCTACTCACTAAGACTAGTGATTGGGTGTGCCAGGGTGCCTCGATTCCCTGGAGACGCCTGTGGCCAGCTGGGGGGGGGGCACCGTGTTCCAATGCCCCCATTCATTGCTGAGTTGGACTGGCCAGCAGCGGGGCAGGTGGTCCAAGGTGGCACCCTGGTCTCTGACACCTGTGCACCCACACTTGGCGGCTGTGTGACCTCGGGCAAGTCCCTCGGGCTCCCTCTGTGTCACTCGGCACATCGGTAAGGTGGGGCTCCTAGGAGCACCTACTCCTCGGGATGTTGCCCGGATTAAAACCAGGCGATGCCTGGAAAGCGCCTGGAAGCCGCCCATGCAGGACACAGCCCGTCCCAGCCCCGCCGCAGCCCTGTGGAGCAGGAGCCCCAGACTCCCCCGCGCGCGGCAGATTGGAACGTGGGGAGCACCTGCTGAAGACACAGAGCCTAGCAAGACCCAGCTCGCCCCGCAGGAGCTGCGGGGTGGAGGCAGAGCAGGCGCCTACGCCGACAGCCGCGCGGGCGGTGCTCTTTAAGCAAGGCCACGGGCACACAGAGCACCTCGCTCCCGCCACGCAGCTCCCCTTGCTTGTCCCAGAGCCCACGTCCAGGGCACAGGGCCGGGCCCACTCCTCTCCTTCCCAGGCCGCCCTCCCAGTGCGGCAAGGCTGGGCTGGGCTGTGACCTCAGTGTCAAGTGGCGTGAAGTGTGCAAAGCAAACAGCAGGCTGTTTGAGGAGGACAAGCTCCAGGGGCCCGGCTCCCCCCACCCCCAGCAGCACTCCCGGGCCGGCTGGGGGCGGGCGCAGGTCAGCTTTGCCCGCGTGCTCACTGCCGGCCGTGTCTGCCGTCCGGATGCGGCTCCCCGGAGCCCGAAGACAGACAGCAGGGCCCTAGGGCTTCCTCCTCCTCAGCCGAGAGGCTCGGCTCCCGACCAAAGCCGCCTCACCCGGTGAGGCCCATGCACTGCGTCGCAAGCTGAGGCCTGCCTCGGACGAAGGGCCCATTAGGGGTAGTCATTACCTGCTTCTTGCCTTTGAACCTTGCCGGTGGTGGTATTTACAGTCTGAAAGCCGGGCTGCGCAGGCAGGCCTGCCATTGGGTGGGCCGCGTTTGCGGCTTTTGGTCTCATCAGCTGACAGTCTGCAGGTGACTGGCGGAGCCTTCCGAGGAGACGGCCGAGGGCTGCCCCAAGGTCACTGCCAGCCGTGGTGTCAGCTACGTGCCGGGGAGAGGAGGAGCGACTGAAAGCTGTGTCTGTGTTAATGGGCTTCCTATCTATGCACCAGGCACGCTGCGTGGCTTGGTTAAGCTTCCTCACAAATGAGAATTATAATCCCCGTTTTATAGCGAGGTTAGGTCATCTGGCCACACCCAGAGCTGGGATGCCTGACATCAACGTCTCCGACCTCTGGGACACGACTCCAAATCCCACGCCCTGTGCCGTGCTGTCCCTGCCCCGCGAGTCTGCCTCTTAGGAATGCAGGCGGGAAGAGGAAGGGGAGAGGAGGGGGCCTGTCCGAGGAGGAGGAGAGGGTTTCTGGGGCGAGGGAGTGAGTGTGTGGCCGGAGGACCAGCCTGCCCCGCTGGGCACAAGGTCCTGGGCAAATCCAGGCCACGTGGCCACTTCCAGAACAGCTCCGTGAGTTCTCTCTGGGCCTGAGCAGAGTCCACAGGCTGCGAGGACGGAGGCCTTCGCAAGCCAGCCCGACGGAAAAGTCCACGTCGGCTCGTGCAGCTGGGAGGCGGAGAGCAGGTGAGGGCTCCCAGCGGGGCGGTGTCTGTGTTGCCTCCTCTCTCCGGCAGGCACGGTCCCAGCGGCTCCGGGCTCGCACCCAGTGCCCTCAGCGGCTCCAGTGGGGACAGGTGCCTCTCACCAACCGTCCAGAAGAAACCCCAGGACTCAGGGATGCCCCTTCTGAGCACCCTGGGCCGAGTCAGGGTCCACCCCTGCACCAGGCGCCGTGGGGGAGGGAGACCGGCCATTCTGATTGGCTCAGTCCCTGGGCACCTGCCAGGCTGGGCGGTCTCTGCATTGGTCTGCGAGGGCCGCTGTTGGCCCGGGCCAGGTGGCTTGAACCCCAGGAACCACAGTGCTGGAGTCTGCAATGTGAGATCAGGATGGCTGGGAGCCCTCCCTGGCTGGCGGTCGGCCATCCCTCGGCCCACGCTGGCCACCTCTTCTCCCTCTGATCCCCTCCTGAAGCCGTCTCCAGATCCCTTCACGGCAGGTGCAAAGGAACTGGGGGCGGGGCAGGGGCTCATCGCCCAGTGTAAAACAATCCTCGAGAGAAGTTTCCAGAGGTAGCGAGAAGACAACAGAATCGCACGTCCCCCGCAGAGTTTTTTTTCCTAGATAAAACCCCTGGCCGTGTCCACTTGGCTGTGTTTCTGTGTTCACTGCGGACACCTCTCCTGACCGCTCGGTGCCCAGCAGCCTCCTAGCTCTGTGTGTCCACCACAGCTCCCCGTCCTTTCTTTGTGGGGACCCTGGGCTGGTGGGGAGAGAGGTCCTCCATCCGTTGGTTCACCCCCCCAGATGGCTGCGACAGCCAGAGCCGGGCCAGGCCAAGGCCAGGAGCCAGGAGTTCCACAGTGCTCTCCAACGTGGCTGGCAGGGGTCAAAATGCTTGGGCCGTCTTCTGCTGCCTTCCCAGGTGCACCAGCACGAAGCTGGATTGGAAGTGGAGCAGCTTCCAGTATGGGATGCTGGCACGGCAAGCAGTGGCTTAACCCACGGCACTAGGCCACCCACTAGATATTTTTATAGAAAAAATTGCAAACATATACAGGTATTTTCCCCATTTTAACACAAAAGGTAGAACACTATGCATACTTTTCTGCATCTTGCTTTTTTCATTTAATAATCTAAATCTCGTTTTATTCTTTTATTTATTTGAAAGAGGGAGGGGAAAGGGGGGGAGATCCTATCCTCTAGCTCACTCCCCAAACGCCCTTAGCAGCTGGGCCAGACCACGCCAGAGCTGGGAGCCAGGAGCTCAGTGCAGGGTCTCCCAGATGAGTGGCAGGGGCCCAAGTCCTCCGTCATCACCTGCTGCCTCCCAGGGTGCACATCGGCAGGAGGCTGGATCCACGGCAGAGGCAGGATTTGCACCCAGCCCCGGGTTCTGGGGTGTGGGGGTCCTGAGTGACAGCCTAACCATGGAGCCAAGCGCCTGCCTCCTTTTCCTCTCAGCAGGTGCACTCCCAGGTGTGCGGGAGCCACGGCGAGCCCCCCGCATAGGAAGTATCTGGGCTGCTCCACCCCTGCTGCTACAGAGAACCGCAGCGAGCAACTGTACCAAAGTGAGGATTTAAAACGTTGCTTATAGATTTCATCTACTTGAAAGGCAGAGAGAGAGAGAGAAAGAGAGAGAGGGAGAGAGAGAGAGAGAGGGAGAGAGAGGGAGAGAGGGAGCACCCCTCCCCTGGCTCCTTCCTCATTTCAAGCCAAAGCCAGAATTTCAGAGGCTCCGTCTGGGTTTCCCCGCGAGTGGCAGAGACCCAAGCACTCATCCATCCTTTGCCGCCCCCCAGGATGCGTCGGCAGGACACCGGATCCGAAACAGAGTCGCCAGGACTTGAACTCCAACAGAGGCTGCGGGCATCCGAAAGGGGCGGGGCTTAGCTTGCTGGGCCTCGGCACCCACCTCAGGGTCACTTTCTGGAAGGGACAAGGCTGGGTCACAGTGCACTTGACCTTGGGGTTTTGCATCTGCAGCCGTGCGGGGAAGCCCCATCAGCACAGTGTGCTACCCGTATCCATTCCTGTAATGAGGCACAGGGAAGCAGCAAGGGCCAGCGGGTGTGGCTCCCAGCTGCTCCTCTTCAAAGCCCCCCACCCACCAACCCACCCAAGGACGTCCATTGGTGGCTTCTGGGCCACTGCTGCCTGCAGGGGAGGCTGGCACGTGCGCTGTATATACGAGCACGCTTTTACCATAGCAAATGGCTGCCCTGACCCCAAGGGAGGGGGCCGGGGGGGGGGGGGCCGTGGTGATGCTGTCCCCAGGGCAAGGCCGCTCTCAGCGCCCGCAGCACAGGTAAACCAAAGACACAGTGTTTTTGAGCCATAGATTGGTTTCTCCATTTTTAGAGCAGTTGTTAGTATTTAAACTTGGGCTGGTTTCTCATAAAAATCAGAAAGTTTCGTTTACTTAAAAGTCTGGGAGCGCTGGTGCTGCGGCCTAGTGGGTAAAGCTGCTGCCTGCAGTGCCGGCATCCCATATCGTGTTGGTTCCAGTCGATCCGAAGCCAGGAGCCAGGAGCTTCTTCTGGGTCTCCCACGTGGGTGCAGGGGCCCAAGGACCTGGGCCATCTTGTACTTCTTTCCCAGGCCACAGCAGAGAGCTGGGTCGGAAGCGGAGCAGCCGGGACTTGAACAGGTGCCCATACGGGATGCGGGCACTGCAGGCAGCAGCTTTACCCACTACGCCACAGCGCCGGCCCCGCCCCCCCCCCCCATGCATCTCATCATCTCAGTTCTGCGGCTCCGCTGGGTCTCTCTCCAGGCTGCATTGTGGTGCGGGCTGAGGTCTCCTCTGAGCGCACGGCTGGGTGCCGATGAGCGTGTAAGCTCTCTGTAGTGTCAGTGGGCTTGGCGCCTCTCCAGCATGTTGGACTGGAGACCTCAGTTCCTTGTCACGTGGCCTCCACGTGGGGAGTGGGGTCGCTCACTTCATCCAAGCACAGGAACCAGGAAGGCAACAGAAAAAATCAGCAAGGGTATCTGGCAGCAGCAGTGCCGTCCCCCGTGGCCTAGCAGGAAGTGGCATGGCCACATTTTCGCCCGGAAGTCTCTGTGCCAGCCCTCACGTGGGGGAACTCATGCCAGCGGGGATGAGTGGGGCTGAGCCGTGGCTGTCTTAGAATCAGCCCTCCTGGGGCCGGCATTGGGGTGCAGGGGGTTAAGTCGCCACCTGCAATGCTAGCATCCCGTATGGATGCCAGTTCGAGTCTTGGCTATTCCACTCCCACCCAGCTCCCCACCAATGCACCCGGGAACGCAGCAGAAGACGGCTCAAGTACTCGGACCCCTGCCAGCCACATGGGAGACCCGAATGGAGATTCAGGCTCTTGGCCTTGGCCTGGTGTAGCCCTGGCCATTGTGGTCATTTGGGGAGTGAACCAACAGATGGAAGACCTCTGTCTCTCCCTCTCCCTCTCCCTCTGTAACTCTGCCTTTCAAACAAAGTTTTCACGCTGGCTGCTCCAAGGACCCCGCCTGCTGAGGGATTTTCCCCCACCCCAACCCTGCCATCAGGTGGACACGTGAGGCCGACACAACTCTGGGGCCAGCACGGTGGCCTGAGCCAGCTGTACCCACTGTGCAGCCAGCCCCTGCCCAGCCCCAGTGACGTGGAGCTCTGCAGCCCGGTCAGCAGGACGCGCACTGTGCTCACATGGAAGCTTGGATCTGGCTTCGTTCCGCTGGGTGGATGTCTGCATTTCCCTTTCATGTGCTGTTTGAGTCAGAGATGAAAACCAGACTTTATGATCATCAGCTCATTAGCAGATAGACATCAGCTGAGTAATTACGCGGACACACCTTAAGACACAGCTTCACAAGACAGGTTCAGTGCTTGCTTTTTTTAAAATAAAGATTTATTTATTTATTTGAAAGTCAGAGTTACACAGAGAGAGAAGGAGAGGCACAGAGAGAAGATTGAGAGAGCGAGAGAGAGCGAGAGTGAGAGAGCGAGAGAGAGAGAGAGGTCTTCCATCTGCTGGTCCACTCCCCAGTTGGTCGCAACTGCACCAATCTGAAGCCAGGAGCCAGGAGCTTCTTCCAGGTCTCCCACAAGGACTTGGGCCATCTTCCTACTGCTTTCCCAGGCCATAGCAGAGAGCTGGATCGGAAGTGGAGCAGCCGGGACTAGAACCAGCCCCCACATGGGATGCCTGCAATGCAGGCGGCAGCTTCCCACTACGCCACAGTGCCGGCCCCACATGTTTGCCCTTGAATGTGAAAATTTTCAAAGACACAAAAAAGCATGAACCCGTGGCCTCAGGTTGTATCATTAATTAGCATTTATTAGGCTGCTTTGTTGATCGCCCATCTAGCCATCGCTTTCTCCACTCGTCATTCAGCTTAGTTTTTTTAAAATGTATTGAAGTCCAGTTGTAAAAACTATATTAAAAGTTTTAGATTCTGAAACCCAATACCCAGAATATTATAGGATTAGGATGGAGAATTATATTGTTTATTCACTTACATTAAAAAATGTGTTATCCACGGGTGATGCTGTGACACAGTGGGTAAGGCCACTGCCTGAGACACAAGCATCCCATATGGGCGCCGGTTCAAGCTCTGGCTGCTCCACTTCTGATCCAGCTCCCTGCTGTGGCCTGGGAAAGCAGCAGAAGATGGCCCGAGTGCTTGGGCCCCGGCACCGGCGTGGGAGACCTGGATGGAATTCTGGGCTCCTGGCTTCCTGGCCACTGCTGCCATCTGGGGAGTGAGCCAGCAGGTAGAGTTATAGACAGTGAGAGAGAGAGACGGAGAGAAAGATCTTCCATCCGCTGGTTCACCCCGCAATGGCCACTGTGGCGCACCGCACCAATCTGAAGCCAGGAGCCAGGTGCTTCCTCCTGGTCTCCCATGGGGTGCAGGGCCCAAGCACTTGGGCCATCCTCCACTGCCCTCCCGGGCCACAGCAGAGAGCTGGCCTGGAAGAGGAGCAACCAGGACAGAACCGGTGCCCATATGGGATGCCGGCGCCGCAGGCGGAGGATTAGCCTAGTGAGCCATGGCGCCGGCCTTTTATTTGTTAAACTCTTTAGTTAGTGGAGCTGTTAGGCCTTTGACTATGAGGTAAGTTTAAAAATCACTATCTCAAAGAATAATAGATACAATGTTAAATTTAGAAAAACAGGGGAAAAGAGAAGCCACAGGTTTGCGGGTACAGCCCGGTGACCCTTGGTGCCCTGTGCCAGCGTGCCGACGTGCCAGGGTGCCGGAGGCTTGGAGGGCTCTGCCACCCTCCCCAGGAGCCCTGATCTGCCGGGAGGACCGTGGCCACCTTGGCCTTCCACCCCCCTGGTTCTTTCTCTGTCACCTGGAAACAGCCATGTCCCAAGGTGGAGCCACACCCCCCACGCCCGTCCCTTCCAGGCCCAAAGCCTCCCTGGTGGCTCAGCTGGCCCCTGCCCTCGGCCAATCAGCAAGCCCTCGGCAGGCCGCCTCTGTGACGTCGGCCAATCAGCAAGCCCTCGGCAGGCCGCCTCTGTGACGTCGGCCAATCAGCAAGCCCTCGGCAGGCCGCCTCTGTGACGTCAGGCTCGGAGCCCCAGATGCCTTTTGCAGAGTGGGTGACGGCCCCTCCAGGTCCTCCACAGGCGGCTCTGCCCCTTCCCAGGTCACTGCAGTGCACGGGAGCCCTCGGTTCCTCCCACCCTGCCCTGGGGAGCACATTGAGGCCATTTTCACATCAAGGTATTTTCAGTATTAAGTCACTATTTTTAGGGGCCAGAGCTGTGGCGTAGCAGGTAAAGCCACCTCCTGCAGTGCTGGCATCCCATATGGGTGCCAGTTCAAGTCCCAGCTGCTCCACTTCGCATCCAGCTCTCTACTGTGCCCTGGGAAAGCAGTAGAAGGTGGCCCAAGTGCTTGGGTCCCTGCACCCACGTGGGACACCCAGAAGACGCTCCTGGCTCCTGGCTTTGGAACAGCTCAGCTCCAGCCATTGCGGCCATTTAGAGAGTGAACCAGCGGATGGAAGACCTCTCTCTCTCTCTCTCTCCCCTCTCTCACTCTCTCTGCCTCTGCCTCTCTGTAACTCTGCCTTTCAAACAAATAAATAAGTCTTTTAAAAAAGTACTCTTTTTAGATATAAGAAGTCATATGATCTCATTATAAAATTTTTGAGACACTCTTTTCTCCAGAAATGAGCATTTGAGAACATCCCATTAAATGCTTTGGCTATTTTAAACAAAACACAATGATGCTCTCTCCACACGTGACCGACTCACATCTTCGATTTTGTTCATTTCCGCTTGGGCTCTTCCGGGACCCCTTCCAGATCAAGCCGCCGGAGCAGGCTGTTCCCTCGCCTGGGGGCCGCACTGCGACAGGTGCCCCTTCTCTGCTCTGACAAACCCTGCGGCTGCAAACAGTCCTGTAAGAGGTCACCCAGGGCGCTGTGAGCTGGGACACCGAGTCAGTCCTGGAAACAGAATCGCCGGTGCCCAGGGCCTGCCGGGTCCCGGCCTTGCTTAAACTGCTCTCCGTCGGCAGCGAGCTGTGAAAGGGGCCTCTCTCCCCAGCCTGCAACAGACAGACGCCGCTGTCGGGGCTCCGAGCTCACTGGGGCTGAGCGTGCCGCCCCCACTTAAGTGGTGGGGGACCAAGGCCCTGAGATCACGCAGCTGGCACAGGGCACTTGCGATGATGCCATCTGTTTAATTTTCCAATTAAAGGGAATTTACATGCAAGCGGCTCTAAGAAGTCTCAGGCCACCCAGAGGGTTCCCCGGGCTGCTCGGGTGACCCCTGCCCCTGGGTCCTCCCCTTGCGGACTGTGGATGGCAGTGCCGGTGCCCACAGATGTGGGTCCAGACGTGTGTGCTGGGTGAGGCTGCGCTGGCCCCTAGCCAGCGGGAGGAAGGCGCACAGAGCAGAGTCGGCAGTCTGCACACAGCGTGGGCTCAGCAGCTCCTCCTGTGGCCTCACACCTCGGTGTGAATCGCTTTACTCAGTAATGGGATCAGCACCTTACCTTGCCCACAGGGGCTCCGGCCTGCGTGGGGGGACAATCAGGCCGGAGACAGACTGATCGAGAGATAGTGCAGGGCTGGGGGGGGGGTCCGATCCCAGGAGGGGGGTGCTGTTTCCTGGCCTCTTAAGAAGTAGGCTGGAGTGGGACCTGCCCCCTGCCCAGGGTGCTGCCCAGCCCCGGGGGCCCTGGCTCCACTGCACGGGGAAGGCCTTAGGCCAGCACCAGCAAGGATGAGTCTGGTCCAAGAGCCCAGCTTCTCTGGGTCCTTCTAGTCCTGGTGGATCCTTGGACTCCACCCCCCTCATCCCCCTGCCCCGGCCCGCTCCTCTTGTTCTTGGAGTGCAGACAGCAAGTTCTGGGTCAGCGGAAGGCCCTGGGAACCCCCAAGGGTCCTCCTGCTTGTGTGCCAAGTCCAAAGTGCTCGCACGGTGGCCTGGGTCTGGCAGCCCCTGTGGCTCCGTGCCTCCCCTGGCGCCCACCGCGCTACCCAATGGACTGGGTGCTGTCTGCTTGGAACTTTGCACGAGCTGTTTCGTCCGCACAGAACACCATCCCCCTCCTCCCGGGAACCCGAGCCCCCCACTCCCCCTGGGGAGGGAGTGCAGCCGGCCCCCGCGAGCCCTAGCATCTGGGGAGGCCGGGCTGAGGGGACACGGGAACTCTGTGCACCTCGCAACTTCACTGCAAACCTCAAATTATCTCCAAAACAAAAGATTAACGAGCAAGGGTGCCCGCTCCTCTGGCAGTCGCAGGGGGCTTGATTCCAGCCATCTGCCCCCACCCGGTCCCCCTGGGGCAGGGCAAGCTGTGTGGCTGTGTCCTGGCCCTGTGGTTCCCAGCCTCTCCCCGGGAGGCCTCCAGCCCTGCCGTGGCCCCTGCTCCATCAAAGCAGGGCCTGGAGAGGCAGCCGCTCAGAAGACGCACCCCTGCTGCTGGCTTCCACAAAGAGCACACTCTGTCTCTGCTCGCAAGCACAGAGCCCAGGGTGCCGGGTGAGTCCTGCAAGGCGGCGCTGCTCGAAGGCTGGGGACCCCCTGAGCACACGGCCCAGGGGCGGGGAAGCTAGCAGGGCAGGGAGGAAGCCAGACAAACGGATGTGGTTGTCGGCTCAGCCCCAGCCCCACCTGACCCCGGGGAGCTCCCGGAGGTGTGAACAACACCAGCAAAGCGCCAAGGGCTGCAGGAGGTGGAGCACCAGGTGCTTCCTGTAGCCGGCACCTGAGCAGCCGGAGCAGAGTGGCAGGAGTGACCTGAGGACGTGGGGAGGGGGCGCCGGTGCGATCCGAGAGGCCCGGCTGAGGCGGGTGCGTGGAGCCCGGAGCACAGACAGCCGGGAGGGCGGATGCGAAGTTGGGGCAGCAGCGCAGTGGGAAGCCTCGAGCGGAGCCGGGACCGGAAGGACAGACGGACACCGGGGCCGGAAGGACAGACGGACACCGCACCAGGTTTTCCGTCTCTGCCCTGGTGACGGGGGTGCCTTCGGGCCTTCGGAGGCTGGGCCCTTCTGCGCACCCGCCCCGGGGAGGGAGAGGCTGTGGGAAGAGCCGGGGCACGTGGAGCAAGAGCAGCCCAGGGCTGCCCAGGCCAGGATGGCGAAGGGAGAGCCGCAGCGCGGGGGCTTCGGGCCACCCTCCAGCTCACGCAGGGGTCACTCTTGGGTCCCCCGGCCGTGAGTCGGATTTGTTCCCCCAAACACTGGGGACTCCCAACCCCAATGGCTCTGATGTGACCTTACCCGGCGACGGCACTGCAGCAGGTGGAATGAGGCCACAGGGGTGGCGTGGCTTCCAGCCCAGGGGGGCTGGCCACCTCCTGTGAAGAAAGAACCGGCGCTGCGGTCTCGGTGCCGGGGCTGCGGTCTCGGAGTTGGTGCTGCGGTCTCGGTGCCGGGGCTGTGGTCTCGGAGTTGGTGCTGCGGTCTCGGAGCCGGCGCTGCGGTCTCGGAGCCGGCGCTCTGGTCTCGGAGCTGGCGCTGCGGTCTCGGTGCCGGGGCTGCGGTCTCGGAGCCGGCGCTGCGGTCTCGGAGTTGGTGCTGCGGTCTCGGAGCCGGCGCTGCGGTCTCGGAGCCGGCGCTCTGGTCTCGGAGCCGGCGCTCTGGTCTCGGAGCTGGCGCTGCGGTCTCGGTGCCGGCGCTGCGGTCTCGGTGCCGGCGCTGTGGTCTCGGTGCTGGGGCTGCGGTCTCGGAGCCAGCGCTGTGGTCTCGGAGCCGGCGCTGTGGTGCAGCGGGTTAAGCTGCTGACTGCAGGGCTGACATCCCATACAGGTGCCAGTTCGAGTCCCGGCTGCTCCAGTTCCAATCCAGCTCCCCGCTAATGCGCCTGGGAAAGCAGCAGAAGATGGCCCCAGTCCTTGGGCCCGTGCGCTTGTGTGGGAGACCTGGAAGAAGCTCCTGGCTGACTCTTCGCTTCAGCCTGGTCCGGTCCTGGTTATTGTGGCCATCTGGGGAGTGAACCATCGGATGGAAGACCTCTCCCCCCCCCTTAACTCTGCCTTTCAAATAAATAAATATTTTAAAAGAAGGAAGCTCACACGCAGACACACACGGGGGCAGGGTGATGTGAAGACAGCAGCAGAAGTGGGCTTGGAGCTCCTGCAGCCAGGGCCTCCCGGGCTGCCGTCCTCGTGAGCGCCCACCCCGGCCAGGCCCTGTCCCCCGCTTCCTGGTGCTCTCTGCAGCGGCCACCACGCGGTGCGCTGGGGCCCTGGACAGCTCGGCCCGGCTCCCAGGCACAGCAGAGGACCTGGCAGCTTGTAGGCCTGGAACTGGGGGAAGAGAGGGGCGCATCGCAGCGTGGGGGCGGGGCCTCCCGCACCTGCCCGCACCGGGCCCCGCCCTTCCTCTGAGCTCGCTTCTGCGACACTAATAATCCTCCTGTGAGTTGCGGCTTGCAGGGCTTCACAGTCTGATAGGCGTTTATTACCCACTTAACCATTTAAGTAGAACAAAAAAGAAAATCCTTGTTGCGCAAAAGGTGATGAATGTCTCCGTGAAAACACCCCATTAAAATGATTCATTCACGTGACAGAGTCCTGGTCTCCACACCCCGGAGCAGGTGGGAGGGTCAGGAGCAGGTGGGAGGGTCAGGAGCAGGTGGGAGGGTCAGCCCGGCTCCCCACACGCTCCCGGGGGCGTAGGGGCGGGCTTTGCTCCTTCTCTGTTGGGGAGGGGTGCTGCCTGGTCCCAGCCCCGGTGCTCCTGGGACGTGGGTTGTTCAGGATCCCCAGACCTGCGCCCCGTGTTGCTGAGGGAGCGAGCGCCACCCCTGGGTCTGCAGAGGTCCCCCGGGTCTGCCCCGTGCCAGGGGCCTGCGCTGGCGCCTAGCGGGTTAAGCCTCTCCCTATGATGCCAGCATCCCACGTGCAGGCTGCTCTGCTTCCGATCCAGCTCCTGCTAATGTGCCTGGGAAGGCGACAGAAGACGGCCGTAGCGCTTGGGCCCCGGATGCCCTCACAGAGCCGAGCATGGAGTTCCAGGTTCCTGGCTTTGGCCTGGCCTGGCCCCAGCCCTTGTGGCCATTTGTGGAGTGAGCCTGTGGATAGATGATCTCTCTCTCTGTCTCTCTCTCTCGCTCGCTCTCTTCTTCCCTTTCCCTCTCTTTCTGTAGCTCTGCCTTTCAAATGAATATTTTTTTTAAATCACCTGCTCTCCTGTCTGGCACAGCTGCACTGCGGGATGACGGGGCTGGGCTGCTGGGCGGCTGGCCCGTGCTAGGTGGTCACGCACTCGGAACGCACGCAAACATTGCAGAGAGAGGCCCTCGTGGGGCCAGGGGCTGCCGGGGCCGAGAAGGCAGGGGGACTGGCCTCGGTCCAGATCCTCCCTGTTTCACTCTGCTACGCGCCTGTCTCCTCTCTGAGCCTGTTTCTCCTGCGCTAAGTGCAGCAGGGCCAGGACCCAGCCCCCAGCGCGGCCGCAGAGTAAACGAGGGAGGAGCACGAAGCAAGTGCTGAGCACAGTAGCTCCGGGTCACAGCAGGGCCACAGCTCCCGTTCTGCACAGACCCCGCGGCCAGCACTGTGCCGGCCCAGCCGCCTCTGCAGTCCCACCAGCTCGCCAGGCAAGTGGACGCCACACAGACTCGGCTTCTCCCCCGCGAACTCTCACCGCAGCCCCTCGCCGCGTGCACTGCCAGCAGCTCCATTTTCCAGATGAGGAAAATCGAGGCTCAGAAAGGGTTAAGCAACTCGCCCAGGGTCACATGGCCCTAATCTGTGAATCTCCTGCGGTATTTACACGTGTGTCTTGCCAGCCGGGAGGGGCCGGATCCCTCATGCCTTCCCTTATCTCGCTGAATCACCCGGCTGCACTTCAAAGGGAAGGCTCTCCCGGCCTCGATTTAGGCGGCTCTGGCCCCCTCGCTCCCGGCTCCCAGCGGCAGCCTGGCTCCGGAGGCCACTCACCTTCCGGTCCGCTTCTCTGTGGAGCTGTGTGACCTGGGGCAAGCTGCTTAACCTCTCTGTGCCCGGCGCCTGCACGGGCGATCCTGGGGCCCACCTTGGAGGGTGAGCCGAGGCTCAGGCTCGGTGGATTTGCAACTGTCTGGAAGGCTCCGCCCGGCCACGGCTCGGGACCTGCTTTCCGGGCCTGGAGCAGCGGTAGCCTGGCTCCTGGCCCTTGTGCGGTGGATCACAAGGACCCAGGGCTTCCTGCAGCTGGACACCGTCCACGCCGATGGCTGCGCCCGGCTCCGCGCCTCCCTCGCGCTCACGGGTTTGAAGCTGAAGTTCATATTTCTACTATCTCCCGTAGGTGTGTCTCCGAGACAGAAAAGAGCCGTCTAAAGGCTGGAATTTAAACCCCTGCAACCTTTGAAGCCCCAGCCAGCTGAAGAGCTCGCCGTCCACCACAGCCACGCATGTTTACCGGGGCAGGAGAGGTTCCCAGGGAACAAAAGCCCTTCCCACGGAGAGGGAAACTATGAGAGGCATTCGCCCCGCGCGGCCCTGGCTCCGGAGCCGCCTCTGAGCCGCTTACCCAGCGAGGCGCTCGCCCGGCCCGCCGAGTTATTAAGTTGAAAATAATTAAGGTTGCTAAGTGATTTCACCCCCTGTGAAACTGCCAGACAGGAATCCTGCCCTTGTTTAATTAAAAAAATGAAGAAAAGATGGAGAGAGGGGAGAGGAGGGGAAGGAGGGGAGGGGAAGAGAAAGGAAGGGAAGGGAAGAGAGGCGAGGGGAGGGAACGGGAGGGGAAGGGAAGGGAGGAGAGGGGAGGGAAGGGAGGGAATGGGAGGGTAGGGGAGGGGAGGAGAGGGAGGGAGATGATGGGAGGGAGGGGAGGGGAGGAGGCACCGTGTGACTGGCCGAGGGGCCCTGGCAGCTGGCCAGCACCTCCTGTGTCAGGATGAGCTCATCCCGGCGGCACAGGGGTCCCTGGCTGCACAGGGGTCCCTGGCACCACCTCCTCCCGGAGCCACCCTGCTTTGCCGGCACCAGGCTTGGGCAGCTGCCTCTTCCTG